CTAGTGGGTCACAATCTCAATTCACTATTATAATAAACATAGTACCAAAGTCTCAAATTTTAATCAAAGGAAATTCTGATCTTAAACAGAAAATAAATATCAATAGATTATTTTTACTTTTATCTAAGTAGGATGATGAAGATATAAAGTTCCTAACAAAAACCCAGAAAATCTTGAAATTCCTAACAAAACCCCGAACTGAAGGAAAGCCCCAATTACATTAGAGAAAATCCCACAAAAATAATAAGAATAGAGAGTTATTGTAGCAATTGTAGTCAAGAAAAACACATGAATTGCAGGTAGAAAATACAAAGAAAAATCAAAGTCACATCAAACAACGAACGATTTCAAAAGGATTACAACAAATTGGAGCCAGTGGCGGACCCAGGATTTTCCGACTGGTGAGTCACAATCGATAATCAAATATGTAAAAAAAATTTTTTACCAAACAACCAAACAACCAAATAATAGTACTAAAAAATACATCCAAATATTCAAACAGTACAAAATACAACCAAATGTTCATATAATACTACAAAAGACAACTAAATAGTAATGCAAACTTATTACAATAGTTCTCGACGAGTTTTCATGTTTTGATATCGATTCATGATATCTTCCATGCTAACATTCAAAAACAAATCATTCTCCAAATAAGTAATTAAACAATCATTCAACATTTGATCTCCCATGCTATTTCGTAGTTTGTCTTTCACTTGCTTCATGCCAGAAAATACCCTTTCCACACTTGCCGTTGCGACAGGAAGAAGCAACACCAACTTCAAAAGTAAATAGACCCTATCATGAGTTTCAGACAATCCCGTTTCAACCAATTTGATTGAAAGATCACTAAGACCCTTCAAATTCCAAAACCTTTCATCTCCTCTAGCAGAACAAATGTAACTATCAAGTGTATGACCAAAGACTATCAATTCTGAACTTGGAAATTCATTAGGATAGAATTTTGCAAGCTTAATCAATTTTTCCTTATCAAACTTAGAAAAACGATCCACAGGACTCAAACAAGACATACACACAAGTAGTTCTTTAGTTATTTCGGGAAATCGATTTTCAAGTTCTTGCAATTGAAGATCAATGACACCAAAAAAAAACTTCAACTCGAAAATGATGTAGATTAGACACTTGTGGGCATTTACCTCTAAACAACCTCCTCCCGGGAACAACATATTTAGCCTCCATATCTGGAACTGCAATGTCATAGTCACCAATAAAAGAAATTACCTTTTCCATATGAGAATCCCATCCTTCATCTCTCATTTTTTGCAAATTAGTCTTGGTTACATTAACCATGGCCATTGCATTCACAATGTCTTGATCGTGCTTTTGTAAGGCCACATTCAAAGCATTTGTTATCGCAAATATACTAACCATCAAGTGTGCCACGAACACAAAATCAAAGGACATCAGAAGATTTGTAAGTGTTTGAGCTCTATTAGAATATATTGTATCAGATACTTTTGCAATATCCTCAAGAGAACCAAGGATTACAGGGAATAAATCAAGTACATTCAAGATTGTCTTGAAGTGAGATCCCCAACGAGTATCACAAGGTCTACCTAATCCACGTTCTTGATTTAAACCTGAACCCGTTTCAAGTTCACCTAGAGACAATGCATCCACCACTCTTTGAGCTTGATTTTCACGAAGAAACTCTTTCCTTTTTGGTGAACCCCCCACAAAATTCAAGAGAGGTGCAAGTACATCAACAAATAACCAAGCACAATCTGAATTCTTTTTAGCAAGTGCAACTTGAGTTAATTGAAGTTGGTGAGCAAAGCAGTGGACAAAATAAGCTTCTTTACACTCATTCTCTATAAGAGTCCTAAGGCCATTAATAGAACCTTGCATATTACTTGCCCCATCATAACCCTGACCCCGTACTTGAGAGAAAGACAAAGAATGCTCCATTAATAAGGATTCAATAGCAGTTTTGAGAGTCAAAGAAGCAGTGTTTACAACATGCACAATACCAAGTAAACTCTCACACACTTCTCCCTTTCTATTAACATATCTCAAACAAAGAGCCAATTGTTCCTTGCCAGAAACATCAGCGGACTCATCAGCAAGGATAGAAAATAAACCACCATCAATATCTTCAAGCATTGCTTTAGTGGTCTCTTTTGCACATGCATTTATGATATCTTTTTGGACTTTAGGAGAAGTAAGTTGACAATTACTAGGAGCATTTTTGAAAACAACTTTAGAATATTCAGGATTACCTTTGGAAATAAGGGATAAAAGTGAAAGAAAGTTACCTCTTCTTAAGGAACTTTCTTTTTCATCATGACCACGGAAAGGCAACCCTTGGAGTAAAAGCCATTGGATAGATTCAATTGAAGCTTCAAGTCGCGTACTATATGCATTTGTACTCTCAGCGGTTTGTTTTGTTAAGGCTTGTGTGATGCTTGAATTTTGTTTCTTGAACAAATCCATAGCTAAAACAGCATTATTATGTGCACTCAAGTGTTTACCGACATGTTTTCTTATTAAATCCGATCAATTCCATGATTTGAAACCATCACTAACAAAAGCATCACCTCCAAAGGCATTTTCATCCTTGAATATATAACAAGGGAAACAATAGGCAGCATCCTTTTCCACACTATACTCAAGCCAAGTCCAAGTATCAAACCACTTAGCACAAAAGCGACGATTTTTGCCAAAAATAGAAGTTTGAGGAAATGTAAAGTCTTTGGGCTGACAAGGCTTTCTTTGAATGTAAATTCTTCTCACTAAATCTCTATCATCTTTATGAAATTGACTCATTTTTCTCCTCTTTCCTGGATCTTGTGGAAGATTAGCAAATTCATGTTCACTTAATCTTTCTCCAAAGATTGGGGCATTAGGAGAACATTGGCCTTGTTCATTTTGAGTTGAATAATGAGATGGAGATGAAAGTTGCTCACTTTCTTGAGGTGGAGTTATAGTTTGTTCATTTTGTGTTGGATGTGGAAGAGAAGTTGGAGTAGGATTCTTTTTAGCAAAGAAGCTAGTAATGTTTTGCATTTCATTTGGAGTACGTTTTCTCTTCATTCTGAAATTTGAATAAATATTGAACTAAATCAAGCAATATTCCCCAGAAAAATTATTTGAATAAATATTCAACTAAATGGTCTAAATCAAGCAATTTCACATAATGACATAACATAATCACATAAACATATTACACAAAACACAATTACACAAAACAGATTTCACATAAGTAATAACTAATAAGTTCAAGAGATTTCAATTACACAAAACACAATTACACAAAACACAATTACACAAAACAGATTTCACAAAAAGAATCAATTGATGATTAGTTGATTACCTACCTTGCTAGGCGGAGGCGAGCAGCGGAGCAGGCGGAGCAGCACTGCAATAGGGCCACGGGCAGCCGGCCAGCACCGCAACACGGCAGTCGGCAACACTCAAGTCTCAGGCACCGAGGCACGCACTCAGCAAGACAACAATTCGCCAATTCAGCAGCACAACCAACTACAAATTAACAAATCAACCAAAGTTTAAACCAAATTTTAATAAAATTAACTAATTAGACTGAATTAATTTGAAGATTAGAAATTAAAAATAAAAATTAGAAATCAACTTACTAGCGAGTAGCGATTTCGAAATGCAATTATGCGACTATGCGAGAAGCCACGAAGAGGACGGAGTCCACGACCACCGACGTCCGACCACCAGGCGAAGAGAACGGTGGCTGCCTGGCTGGGACGAAGCGAAGAGGCGAACTGAAGAATGGAGATGAGGCGAAGTCGCGAAGAGAAGAAGGCTAGGGCTTGAAGTCTTGAACTGAATTTTGGTTTTTTTGGGGAAAACTGATTTTAATTTTTTTTTTTTTTTAAAATAACTTAAAATTTTTTTTTGGGCCTGGTGAGTCACTTGACCCACCAGGTCTAAGCCCAAGTCCGCCACTGATTGGAGCCCAGAAAAATCATAAATTATTAAGACGAAAACGAAAGAAATTAGAGTTCTTACCTCTTAATCTACAATTGATTCTTGAGTTTCCGCCAAAAAATCACCAATTAACCATGAATCAATCTTCAATAGCTAGGTTTTTGAGAAATTTGAGTGTGCAAGGAAAGTGTACTGTTTAATTAGACTTTAGAATAGAACCCTATAACTTCCACGCTGTAGCTTAGGTTGATTTGCTTTTTTCATTTTTTTTTTTAATTTTTTTTCACTTATTTAATAGATAGATATGTATGCTGTCCTATTTTTTGGTAAAATTGGAGAGGCGCCAAACAAAAATTTAGAGCCCGCCTTTTATATTTGGCATGAAGTAGTGGGATAATTTAGCGATGCTATAAAGTGTAGAATAAAGTGTCGAAATTATAAGTGGAAAAAAATAACAACAGCGACAGTTCATTAAGTGTCGGAAAAAAAGTGTAGGAATAGTAAGGAATTTGTAGTAGTGCATAATTGACAATGAACGATAATGAATTCGAATTTAACAAAATTAAACAAGAATTAATCGGGGAAGGGCTAAGAATTCAAATACATAAATATAACAATTCGGCATATTCTCGATTTGTTGTCTCATACAACTTTTTGAGTGGATCCGTCGTCGCTTCGCAATTTTGTGAGAAAGTAAATTCTTGTGCTGATTCCGTAACCCGAATCCGAGCCACAATCAATAGTAGCCCCGCACAACCGGAGACCAAATTAAGCACAAATAAAGCCTTGTCTTTCGAAGGAGATCGAAAAAACCTTGTCTTTCGAAGGATATACAACATGGTCTTGGAGGGTTTATCTGGTCTTAGATAAGTTGCCTCATAAATCATCCACTTAAAGGATGCCCACCACTGGTCAAGTGTTTGATTGGTTTTGCAAAACACCCATTTATTTCTCTACCAACAATGCACAATCTAGCTAGAGTTGCCTTTTTCACCTAAAAAATCTCTACCAACAAGAAACATGACAATCGAAAGAATATTGTTACTCAAAATTGTTGTACATAAAATAGACAACTCATACAATTGTATTATACATATGTAATTTCGAAAAAAAAAATAATATTATACACATAAATGTATTATATAACGTTACTATGATCGGCACTCAAACCTACACTAAGTCCACACACACGCAAATGGAGGGGAAAAAAACTTTTTTTTTTTTTTTTTTTTTTTTTGAGTATGTAGGGTATACTACTTGTATATATCATATATGTAGAAGCAATAAAAAGGTGTAGAAATTAAATTAAATAACGAATGAACGTATACGTCTATCAGTTGTAACAAATTCGATCCATTAAGGCTTAGTTCCCTTGATAAGTTCTTCCACTTCATGATTTGAGCACTTTTTGGCCAATTCCAAGGGTGTAATTAGATTTTCATCTTTCATCTTGATAAGGTCCTTTCCCTCCTCTAGGCTCAACAAGTACGAGACAACATGCCTCAGCTTGTTGCCGCGTTCTTTGGCCGCAATGTGCAGTACTGTTCGCCTATGATTGTCACCGGCTAGCAAAAATTCGCGAGTTTTGGAATTGGAATAGAGCTCCTTTAAGACCTCAACATAGCCTCCTAGGCCTGCCTTGTGAAAGGCGTTGGACTTATCGTTGTTGAGGTAACTTATAGAGTTTGGAAAGTTTTTGAGAAGGTAACGAACTATCTCAAGATTACCACTGAATGCTGCAAACGAAAGTGGAGTCAATCCGTCTTCATTGGGACATTTGATTAGCTCGCGTTGATATTTGAGTATAATTTGCAACATTTCTGTGATTAGACAAAAACCAATAACCAATATTAGTACCATGAAACTAATAATTGTTATGAAACTAAATTTTTATTAAAATTCTTTTGTATCATTGAATGTTGCCATCAGATTAAATTATTCTTACAATAGTTATATAGCTGACGCATTACACGTGTTGGACTTAATGATTTTGATGATGACACAACCTCACTTACTTACAAACTAATAAGTGCTTGATTGTTTAAGTGTGTACTCAGTTACAAAGACTAGGAGAATGAAGTGTCTTGTAAAAATACCATGAGGAACAAGAAGGCCAGAAGCAGAGCTATCCATATGGAAGAGTTCCCTGCTATCCATATGGAAGAGTTCCCTCACAGGAACTGGCGCTTCAGAAATGAAGACTGGAAAAGAGAAAGGTTCCCTTAGGGAACGGAAGCTTCAGAGAAGAAGCCTCACCAGAGAAGAGAAGTTCCTCCCAAGGAACAGAAGCCTCGGAGTAGAAGCTTCATCAGAGAACATGAAAACTAAATATATTTTTATATTTTAGGACTTATTAAGTATAAGATATTAATTTGCACTCGAAAAATCTCTGTGGAATCGGTCTAAAAAGATAAAATTGTGCATGCTAGTTTTTAGGAAAGTGGTTAAGTTTTTAACGATTATCTTTTTCTTAACCAAAAAGATTTTATTTCTGATTTTCTAAAAATATCTTCTGCAAATAAAATCTCCCACGTTTTCTAAAATTTTGCACTCCATGATTTTCTTCAAGTCATGGTCTTGCACATTGAGGAGTTCATGTTTCCTTAATTATAGGAACATGATCTTCTTAGTGGATTGGAGTAGTGGCGTAATGGATTTGCTGCACAAAGAAGTTTTTCCTAAACGAATTTTGGTCTATAAATAGTTGTTGATTTCAGATGGAAAAACTCACCCTTGCTCTCATAAGTTTTCAAGCTTCAAATCGAGTCAAGTGTCAATTCCACACAAGTTCATTAGAGTGTTATTAATGTTCTTATACTAGAGTTTGTTTTTCTTTCGAGTTGTAATTTGGGGAATGGGGAAGTTCGAGTGAACGTGTGTGTATGAGAAAGAGAAGTGAGAAAGAGAAGATAAAGAGAAGAGAGAACAGAGAAGTGAGAAGAGAGAAAGAGAAGAGAAGAGTAACAAGTTGGGTGACTTGTTTCTCAGGGTCTCAAGTTCGTAGAGGAACTTGAGGTTGAGTCGTTAGCCTGTAATAGGATCATTTGCCCTATTATAGTGAAGGTTTTTTTCCCAAAATCCCAAGTGGTCGTGGTTTTTCTCCTTGTTAGGGCCAAGGAGTTTTCCACGTAAAATCTCTCTTGCATTCTTTAGTTCCTTTAGTTAATCTTTCAGTTCCTTTAGCTAACTTAATTTTAATTCCGCAAAAAGTTTGGCTAAATTCTCATACTACAATCCAACCCCCCCTTCTTGTAGTATTCTTTAAAACAACAATACGTACAACAAGCATTTACCTCTATTTTAGAATAATTAACACAGGTTTATCACACAGATATGTCAACATATAAGTTTAACCATTAATATGACTATATTTTTAGTAAAGAGGACACATATAAGCTTAAATAAATAAGAAAAATTTACTAGTTGAGAGATTTTCATTTAATTACCTTGATTCTTATCTGCAATGGCAACATCAACAATTGACTTTCCTTTCTTCAAATTGTCAAGAACATTAGCATCTTTAACCAGCTCACAAAACACGGCTTTGACCAAGTCCAAGTCCTTGCGACGAACAGCATGATGAAGAGGAGAAATTTTGGAGTGATTCAAAGCATACGACCCCGGTGGATATTCGTTAACCAAGAAGAGTGCCGTCTCCTTGTGGCCATTCTTCACGGCAAGGTGCAAGGGTATGTCGCCGTGAGAATCCTTGTGGGATAACAGCCCCTTGTTCGTACCAACCACCTCTCGGGCTCTTTTGGTATTTCCGCAACTTGCTGCCTTGTGGAGCTCTAGGTCATATATATTGCTCACCCCATTAGTTCCGATACCATGTTGAAAATAATTTGCTCGGACTCTAGAACTCATATCATAGTCTGTACCTATAACGGTACAAACTAGGATGTTGGTATTTATGAGCCGAGGGATTAGGTTGCTCCCGCCTAGGGCTCGAGTCATTTTGAAGAGATAAGTAATTAAGTTTTGAGAATATATAATGATAAAACTTTGATCAAACGTAAGTATTAATGTATGAAATGATTTTATCTAGCTAGATTGAGATAGGTTTGAATATATATAGCGAGTTAGAAGCGAGAAATGTTAAAGAAATTGCACCAGAATTTCAAGTAAATTATAGACCAAAAATGCTGGGGTATGTCAAAATGTCTAATAATTCTAACCAACTAAAGTAATTTTTTTAACTTGGTTTATACATTGACTTCAACTACTACACTGTCCCTTCATTAATTGCTTAGGACTTGCCAATTAAGGTTTCGTTTTACATCTATAACCAATTCAATGAACAATTTCTAGCGGTTCTAGATCTAACTTTAACCACAAAATATAACGAAATCTTGTGCTTATATTATCTTAACCTACTACTAATAATAACATTTATTAGTCCTAAAGTTAGCATTATGTTGCATTCACATTTGTAAACCATAGACTTTGTCCGCCAAGAAAATAATTAAAAATGGAAGTAATTACATAAAAATTAAAAATTATGTGACAATCTTAGTAAATCACATCATCACTTCCTCTTAGCAAATCAACATGGTCTTCCTTCATCACACACACACGGCAGTTCACTCGGTGTTTACTACATGTGGCTATAAATTTCTAAGAAGTATATATTGACATTGACCAACTTGTCCAACTATTTACCTACCAAAAACTACCTAATTTATTCTTTTAATTTGTACATGTAAACTCAAACGTAGCAAATAACATGGTAACATCACGGAAATAATGTTATCTAACCTCGTAGTCTTGAGACTACGACACGTCTTCACTAATAATACAACGTATGAAGAAACTTCCTCCCAATTAACCATAAATTGGGTTAATTAGTCTAAACCATCATGAGTTCGTTACCTAGCCCCAACTTGATGTCTTGATCTACCACGACATATATAAGTGTTGTGACAATTAAATGCAAGAAAGATTAACCAAATACAAACAAGAAAGATCTACATGTTAACTAATTTAATTTTGGGGAAATACAAGTTAATCTGCCAGATAAACGAATTTTTGTTAATCTGATGGCATTTTTGTAAATATATTGAAAAAACAGGGTCATTTATTCAGTACTTTTTGTGAGCTATCCAATTAATGTTTACTTTTTTGTTTTTACTGTTTGGTGAGGAAATTACACATGTAACCTTCAACTAATACATGAAAAGACGCATATACCCCTCCAATGACACTTGAAAAGACAATTATACTCCCAGATAAACAAATTTTGTTTATCTGGGGAATTAACTGGGTATACCTCTTTAATTTTCGTTCAAAAATAAATACTTTAATTTGTTTGTTATGTATGTGTATGCCGCATGGGAAAATGGATGAGAGAAAATTTATAATGTTATTTATTATGTCATGTTTGTGTATCAAACATTTTGTGGTATAGCCTTATTACTCTAATAATTTCACCCTTCCCCTAATATTGCAACAATTAAAATTTTAATAAGTTTCATAAATGTTGCAATATTTTTTCTATTGTATACTCACTCAGTATTTTAATAAGTGTTACACTTTTACTGACATATAATTAGATAAATTGATGGTAAAAATCGTGTCTCGACATGCGTATTTAGTCAAACTGTAACACTTATTAAAACACGGAGGGAGTATGTTTTATCTCTTTTCATCATATGGGTCCCTATCTTAATTTTTCACTATATAATTTCAAATCCGTACTAGCAACATTATTATTAGATGTAAAATTCTCATTCATTTCATTTTCTTGGCGATCAAGGTACTATATGTACTATTTATTTCAATGTGAATGCTTACTATTTGTTGGGAACTTTAATGTTAGAGATAAGTCCTTCTATTCTATTCTATTTCTCTCTAATTTGTCATTTAATTTTAGTCTAAACTTGTGAAGTATGTAGTGAGTATACGTAGTAGGTTAACATAATAAGGGACATCATAATAGAATTCCATATAATAAAGACATAATGTGGCAGGTAAGTCAATAGATAAACCAAGTCATGAATTTTGAGAGCTCCCTTGTGTTAGTGCAAGAAATTTTAGCCGGAATTGTTAGAGTGATAGTGCTAGTTAAAAAATTTACGATTTTGTGATAATTTTCTTTTTTAAAAAAAAAAATGAATAGGTAGTCATTTAATCTCCAAAACACGTTATTTAATGGTAATTCTTGATAAAATTTCTAATTTTTAATAATCTGAGTAATGATAAGTGAAAGTACCTATTTATATAGCATTCCATAATAGAGAAAAAAAAAGAAAAAAAAAGAAAAAGAAAAGACCTTTTAAATAGACCAAACCGCAACCCAATACATCACCTCAAGAGTACAGAACAAATAAAGCAGGCGACATATTATATTGAGTACATTAACAAGGTGGTCGGGCAAGTTCAACTAGGTTGGCACTTATACTACTTTGATCAATTATTACAAAATTTCAATGCTTGTTTTATTGTAATATTTACAATGTCGATCAATTAGATATGATATTAAACTTATTTGCCATATAGCCTTACCCTAACAATATGATCGAAAAAGGGCTTGTTCACATTTACTTAATTAATTTCAGTTTAGTTCAGTTCAACTTCAATCAGTTCACTTCAGTTCAGTTTAGTTCAGTAAATATGAACAGGCCCGGCCCGAAGGCTCTATGTTTCCAGAGGTTATTTATTTCATACTTAGACAATGTCAACATTATTTCTTATGGTTAATCCATATAATACCATAGCCATGCAAAATGAAGGAGAATTGGAGAGGGTAAACGACCACACAGCTACTACTAGTAAACACCGTGTAGTCACCGTGTGAAGACCCAAACACAATAGATAAATAATTGATCAATAAACTTGACGAGAGGAAGTCATGCAGTAATCATCCATCATTTCTTAATTTTTAATTATTCTAATTTTATTTAAAGTCCATACAATTTACAATTAAAATTATTAGATGTAAAATTCTAATTTATTTCATTTTCTTGGCGATCAAGGTACGATTTATTTCCAATGTGAATGCTTAATATTTATTTGTTAGGAACTTTAATTTTAGTCTAAACTTGTGAAGTTGTGAGTATTAGGTTAAAATAATAAGGGACGTCATTAAGAAAGAATCTCCTATGATTTAGACATGGATGTGGCACGAAGCCTTAAATGGCATCCAAACCGCAAATAAAGCCAACTCAATGTAGCAGATAAGTCAACAGAGAGACCAAGTCATAAATTTAGAGAGTTCCCTTGCCTTTGTTTGATCACCAACCAAAATAAAATACGAAGTACGGAGTGAATCAAGTTTAGTTAGATTGTATTAGTATAATTTATTTATAGTTCGACTAAACAATTTAAATAAATGTATGGTTGAGGTTATGTAAAAAATATACAAAAAAATAAAATAAATTACATGCATGGTCTAAACAATTACACAAATAATTCTCATTTCTACTGCTTTGTTTGAAAATATACAATTACTAATTATCATATCCCTATTATACATAAATTAAAGATATTATATTATAAAATCGCCCAAATCACAAAATCTTTTTAGACTATATTAAGGCACTGTTTGATTCACCTTAATTTTGCTGAACTGAAATTATTTTTACTGAACTGAACTTATTTTATTGAACTGAACTTAATTTTACTGAACTGAAATTATTTTTACTGAACTTAAATTATTTTTACTGAACTGAAATTATTTATACTGATTTTCTATTATAATTCTTCTTTAAGAAAACTGAATTTTACTGAACTGAACTTATTTATACTGAACTGAAATGATTTTTACTGAACTAGAATTAATTTTACTGAACTGAAATTATTTTTACTTAATATTATTTTTTTAAGGTGAAAACAACACGGTCTAAATTATAGTCTTTGTGTTCCAAAATAATTTACTTATTTGACTTTTTTTCCATTATGTATATACTAACTTTGACCGGGCCATATAATTTTTATGTGACTTATATGTACTACACATGATTAATAATAAAAATATGTTGTAGAATATGTATTATTCCACAATATAAAGTTATTATATAATACGAGTATCAATTTTTTACTTTTTATAAATTTGCAATGTTATATTTAGAGATATTTATCATTAAAATTGTTTGTTGGCAAACATGATTAAAGAAACATGTCAACTAAAAAAACGGGGTAGTATTGTTATTAAATACTTAATCATTTATATTTAAGATCGAATTGACAAGTGTGTCAAGTTTGATTGTATCGATTACTTTTTAAGAGCTCCTTAATTTAATTACTAGTTTAAGCTGGAAAGTTTTAAACCTTTAAATAGTGGACCCTCACACAACTCTCTTTGGTGACTTACCTTATAATTTCAATGAATGATCAAATATCTTGAGATCAAATATCTTGAGATATATGTTTTGATGTCATTCCAAAAGTAATTCGTAATAACATCCTGGTCTAATCAATTCCTACCTACTGCTATCAGCATAATTAGGCCTGAAATTCAATTCCACACATTTCGTTGAATTCACATTCTTCTTATACTATCCGCCATATATGATAAATTTGTGCTGCAAATTGTCTGATTTTTTATATTGATAATAATAAAGACTCATGACTTCTACAATTCTACTCCACTATGTAATTAATGTAAATGTATGTCCACAAAAAAGTACTAGGAATTTGTTAGCGATTGTTACATAATGTTTCATTGGGTGCAAAAATATATAAATCACAATGGAATAAATACGGAGTATTTTTTATTTTTTAATTTACAAATCACTATTTTTTTTTAGGAAATAATAAATCACTAATATTATTAGTCAGTCAAAGAGATCGATCATGTGAAGGTTATACTTAAAAAAAAAAAAGGAAGAAATACTTGATATTTTCAAAGGGTACGAAATATATAAGCGTTACTAGACAAATTTTCAAATTACATAACAAAAGTCACACTTAATTTCCATATCACAAAACTCCATGGTAGTTTATTAATAATACAATAATTTATTTTTAAGTTTTAACCTTTGCTGATTAGAATAGGCTAAAAACACACACACGACACAACGGAAGACTATGTAAAAAGGAAATAAATAAAACAAAAGTAAAATACATATTGTATATCGACACATCGCAACATTCACACCAGATTAATTAGTTCTTCTTATTAACGCATGATTTTTTCCATAATAAGTTGTTCAACTTCACCATTTTTGCTGCTTCTAGCCAAATCCAAGGGTGTACAATCCATTTCGTCCATCTTGTTGATTAGCTTTATACCCTCTGGTAGTCTCAACAAGTATTCAACAACATGTTTCAACTTATTACCGCGTTCTCTAGCAGCTACGTGCAATATTGTTTGTCCTTGATTGTCAACAACGGAGCTAAGGGGTGAAGGAAATTTAGAATGGAACATCTCAAGGACCCTAACATGTCCCCCTAGACATGCCATATGAATCGGGTAGGATTGAAGTTTATCTTTGTTTCGAATATATATTGTTTCGGGGTACTTGTCCAGGAAGTAAACCACTATGTCTTCAAATCCTTTGGATGCAGCATACGAAAGAGGAGTTAACCCTTTTTCATCAGTCGCCTTGATTAGATCAGGCTGAGTCTCGAGTATAATTCTCAACACACCTGTAATATATAGCACACATAAACAACCAAAATTTAATATGCGTGGATATTTAGATTACAGTGTTGTTTGGTTGACAAATAAAAATATGGAAAATTAAAATTTTTAGGAATTGAAATTCTTTGGAGTTGTTTGGCTGAAAAATTCATGAAAAGTAGAAATTCCCATGAATTTTCACTTTCCACAAAAATGAAGGTATTTAATTTATTTCCTAGGAAAACCTAGGTAATTAAGCAGAACTTTCCATGAAAATTTTCACTTTCCATAGTCATCCTAACAAAATTTAGCATTTCATAGGAATTCCAGTTACATGGAAATATTAATTTTCAAGGAATTTGCAGTTCCCTTATTCAACCAAACGAGGCCTAAGTATATACTTGTATGTTATTATAGTAATTATAATTAACAATTGAATCAGTAAAGTCAAAACTCAAAAGGTTGTGTGTTGATTTGCCGAGCTTTATATGGAATACAATAAACACCTTGAAATATATAGATCATTTTACAAGTTATTTGTATGTCTTATAAATAAAAATATAGGGTAGTTGGTGATACATACATACCTTGATTTTGACTTTCAATGGCAGCACGTACCTCGGCAACAGCATTATTATTGATGTTACTTCCACCGTTAGAAGTATTGTTGGGAATACCTTGAAAATTGGTGGTGGTGTTGTTTTGCAATTGCATCAATAGATCAGCATTAAACACCGTTGTAAAGGGGTAGACCGCGATGGTTGTATTCACACGCCGCGGGATAAGGTTACTACTCGCGGTGGTGTTCATTATTTCGTACACCACGGCTCGAGCATCGGCATGAGAAGGCATTGTGGTGTGGAGTGGGAAGCCCATGAGTTCTAAGAATTTTTCTTCTTCCTTCTCTATGATCTCTTTTTCTTTCATTGTTAAAGATCAATTAGATTTCGGGTTTGGATCGGGTTGTTTTAGGATGGTGCAAGAGATCTTTGAAGGGGGATTAGGGAAATAGGGTGAATCGGAGGAGTTTATATGGTGGGAAATTGAAAGAATATGGACAATGTATGGAAATCTAGCTAGAAATTCAAATAAGGATGTCATAGATAGCGATACTTGCTAGGTTAAGTGAAAGCGATACTTGCCACACGTCAAATTTTAGTTGTAACTTAGATTGCTAAATAAGGGTTCTTATATTATTCATAAAGTATGACATTATGATATTAGATTGCTATTTAGTTGTAAATAGCGTGCATTTCGTTACAATTTGGATCATTATTCATAAAGTATGACATTATGACAGGTTGACAACCTATTTCCTTGATATTGTCCTAGGTGATATTACATTCATTTTACAATTTTTGTAAACATTTCACGTTTTGGTGTTTGTTACTAACTTATAATGAAACCATTTGCAATATACCAAGTATGAAAAGTTGAAATTAATTTTTTTAATTGCAACACTTTTAATTTTACTCTACTCTGAATTAATTGATTTTTAAACTAAATTAACTTTTATCGAATTGAATTATTTGATTTTTTTTTACTAAACTAAATTAAATTTTACTAATTTGAATTATTTTTACTGCATATTAATTTTGAAGGTGAACTGAACAGGGCCTTATAATTAAAGAAAAATATATTTATTTGGAATCTAGTTAAATTCATCTCTATTATATTTTCATAATATCATATTTTTAATATATATACATAGACATTGGATTTTTTTTTTTTTTTTGGTAACTTAGTGATAGAAATGATGCATTAACAATTGTGAAAGGAAAAATGTTGCAAGAAAATTGTTTTAAAAAATTGAGAAATTATATCTTTATTTTAACAATGTATACAATTATAAAAGTTATTACGTACGGTTGGAATTATATCTAACTAATTGAATCATTTGAATGTACCAAAAGTTAGAAGGAAATGTTGGAATTGCGGAATTATCACGCTATTCTTCACAAGGCGACCAGTCCACCGACTCCACTCGGTGTTCAACTACTATATGTCTATATATTGGTGATAGTAGTTAGTGTTATTAATCATGAATACACCGTAAACTAGTCATTTTATATTCCCTCCGTCCCTAAAAGAACGATCCATTTGGCCTAATTTTAGTCACAAAAAGAATGACCCATTTGCATTAAAAGATCCACCAATTTGCAACTATATTTGTGCAAAATTAGCTTCCCCATATAAAAATTTGATTTTCCATGCAATTTTATTACTTTCTCTCTCTATTTTTTTACAAACCCTATGTAAATTTATATATTCAATATACTTTTACTTCTTTTTATTTAACTTTCTTAATAAACCCGCGTAATCAACCCAAATGGGTCGTTCTTTTGGGGACGGAGGGAGTATAATGTTAGGAGTTCAATTAATAAGACCCCTTCCTGTATAAAAAAAAGTAAAAAAAATAAAATATAAAGTAAGACCCTTCATTTCTCATATTAAAATAAATTTATTTTTAAAAAATATAGTATTGGATAATAGTTATAAATGTAGAACCTCATATAGACTTATAACTTGATTGTTCAGGCGTTTTCTTTAATCTCTTAGTATTGCCAAACTTTTTATATTAGTTAACTTTTGTATAGATAACACTAGCTTAATACAAGTAGTTATTTATTTAATTTTCTACCACTAATAATTAAAGAAGCTAACAACATCTTAATACAAATACAAGAAATCAACACTATTTCCCACCGTTAACCTTCTCACAAGCTAACAACATGAGGGTGAAGGGAACATGACAAATATTACGCAAGATCTTGTTTTTACTACAAGATCTTGGCGAATATAGAGGAATAAAAAAAACTAATAATGCACCTAAGAACATTCCTCCCATGACTAACACCACAAGACCTAGCCAAAACACTAAGGTATGCAACACCACATACAAACCCGCCATGAACGCCACCGACATCATGGCTAGGGAAACTCCGAGCAAGGGTAGCGCAAAGTCTAGTGATAACAAGACGAGCCTAAGATCTTCGAGTTGGGCCCATATGAGGGTGACCATTGCAAGGGTGGCGCTATACATGGCAATGGTATTGCTAATAACAAAAACTTGGAATGCACACTCGTGGACTAGGGTGGCCATCCCTTCGTCGGGCTTGTTGTTGCTATAACCACCAGGGACGGTGAAGCCAGAGGCGAAGGTAATTGTGGCTACTAAGGTGGCTACCACTAGGAGTGTGTGGATTCTCTGCTTGTACTTGTTTTTTGGTTTATTATTATTTGGATGAGATCTTCCTAGGTTACTTTGTTGATTGAGTAACATAAAAGTAGGTGGGCCATTTTGATTGTTTACAAAAGTGTGTTGTGCATTAATTATATTGCTATTCATGGTCATGTTTGCTGGCTCAATTATATTTATGTTTAGGCAGTGAAATTCTGGGGCTCTTGGCACACCCGCATACTTCAAGGATAACCATGTTAAACGCTGCAAAATTGAAAAATAGAAAAATAAAATAATACTCCGTACTCCAAATTCAATTGAGCTAGAATATACTTGTGCATTAATTAGACGACAGTGTTGGTGATAAAATTAGAAGTTATGTTATGTGAATTTGAATAAATATGACGTTAATGAGATATGATGTAGCATTGAGTAGAACTTTCAAAAAGAAAGCAATTGGTATGCATGAGAAGTATCCATGTATTTAAAATTACATTTTAGTTTTCAAGATGGGTAGCCTAAAAGTGCTAACTTGAATGAGGGTTAGGATTGGGGTGAAAGTTTAAGATAATAACTCAAGTGGTATTAGTACGTATATATGAACCAATAATGAGTGAATCGCTGTTATCTTGCAAGAATGATGCCATGTCCTTAGCTATTTATTGTAACCTATCAAATAAGAACGAATTTAATACAATGCATATATGTATGCTTGTGTGTTATTTTACCTTACAATATACAAGTATGTTACATGCATATTTATAATACCCTAGAATTTTAGGTCTCCCATCATTATACAAGTTCATTTCATCAAATTTGTGTAAGAGGTACGTTATAGCTACATAATTTACTATTTAATTATTGCTACTCTAGTAAAAAAAAAATACACTACATAATATAAGTGCTAAAGCAACTCTTAAAGTGGAAAAGAAATCTTAAAAAGCTAGCCACCCTTTCATACATATATTTTATAACTTATGTATGCATAATGTATACATCCAATCAAATAAAACCAAACTCTCTTTTGCTGGCGTCCAATCAATATACATCATACTTTTTTCAATCAACCCCAATCTTCCACTCTTCCTACATAGACAATTACTACCATACGCTTTAATTTTTAAATGACGACTTTGACTTATAATCGAATTCTATTCAAAAGGGTCAAAAAAGTATTTAATTAAAGTAAACAATCATTTATATAAATGTGTAAGAAAAAGATGCATGTAGATTTGACAGTGTCAATATAGAATAAAGGGATGTTTATTTGGTACGAATTTCTACTCATCACTTCGCCCCTATACTCAATCCGTTGAACTAGTCTATTAAAAACTAGAGTCTTTGTAACAAGAAAAGCCCACGGAATACATGGTTGTCCGTACATCATTTACCTAAAATCATTAACTTAATTGTACAAAAAATATACTTCCTCCTCATAAATTCATAATAAGTGAGAGGTTAAACGAACTTTATTTCACTATTCACGTATTAACTTTGACTATAATTTTTTACTAACATAATTAAAATATTTTTTTCATAAAATAAAATATGTTGTTTAATACGGAGTAGGTACTAATATAAGTTTAATAATATAACTATTTAAATAAATTTCAATAAATTTTAATTATATAAAATAAGGCCAAATTAGTGAATCAGTCAATCAACATGTGAGCTAAGTTTGACTGATCTAAGTCGGTTATTCTAAAACAGAGAAAGTAGTATGATAATCCTCATGTAGATAGTAACGAAGAAGGGAATAACACACGAACAACAACAAATATTCAACAAAAACAATAATAATTAAGCGTTACCTCTTTAAATGAGGGAATTTGATCTCCATAATCCTCAGCAATGTCAAGAGCTGTGAGTCCATCCTTATTTTGGAGGGTTAAATTGACCCTATCATCCCAAGTAAAATCATAAACCACCTTAGGATGTTTCCTCTTGGAAGCCAAATGCAAGGGAGTGTTGCCATCTTCATCTTTCATATTGATCATCATTTCAAGTTCCGGTTGTTGCAAGATATGCTTGACAACCTCGGCTCTCCCATTCGCGGCAGCCACGTGAAGGATGTTCTGCCCCTTGTTGTTCAACGTTAGCCTAGCCTTCATTGGCAAACGAGAAAAGAACTCCTTGACTATTTTGATATCTCCTCCACTGCAAGCCCAATGGATAGGAAATGAACCAGTTTCGTCGATTTTGTAAGCTTGGTTTCGAAATTCATCGATTATGTATTGAACGCCATCAAGGAAGCCTGTGTAAGCAGCATATGATAGCGGTTTTCTTCCCATTTCATCTGTCTTCTCGTATAGTAGCTCCCGATATCCTTTAACCATCATTTCCAAGATATCTGCTCAATTTTTCAGAATGTACGTATGTCTAAGTTATAAGAGTAGTAGATTTAGTGGGTTAATGTGAGACGTGATCTAATGATCATGAGATTATGTTCCATAAACTTTTAGCTTAGTTTTGCACATTTGTACTATATAGTGTATATATGTTACTATGAAATATGATTTTCAATAGATTGAATACAAGTTTACATTATTCTTTCACCTTTCTCATCTTATTATTTATACTTTAAATATTGTTTTATTGTAAAAATCATATATACGGGCTAGTGGATTATTCAACTTTCTAGTAGTGTTGCTAGATGTTGACCTTCGTTTCATAATATTCTTAACATTGTTCCAATTTTACTGGTCCAATTTTTAGTTTTGTACTGGCTCATAACGTTCTTATTAACACATCTATTTTAATCCTTTTTTTCCTAAACCCCTTTTACTTCTTAACCCTACCATCCATATAGCTAGGCCAAATATGGTGGTGGAGGTATATGCACCGTGCATCGAATATCAAGCGTAAAACCAACGAAATACGAAAAATTGCACTCCAACATAAGAGCTATAACTTAGGGTCTGTTCTGGTTGACCGAATTAAGCTGAACTGAACTGAATTGAACTAAATATATTATAAGAGAAAGAAATTAAGGACTGAACTAAACTGAACTTATTGGAGCTAAACTGAACTGAAAATAAGCTGAATAGAACATGTTATGAGATGATTTGGTGTATCTTATATTGGAGTTTACGTTGTTAAAGTTTTTTTGTTCTTTTGTTTTAGTTTTCATGCTACAAGTATATATTTTGTTTTAACCTTGCATGATATTTATTGAATCGTGCATACGTCTCCACCATACAATTAATTATAGATGGACTCGACTTGTATTGAAAATTCAAAACATCATCCACTTGGATAAAAAAAGTTCTGTACCTTTCCTCTTTGCAATAATTGCAGCATGAACAACAGACTTTCCTTCCAATAATTGAGCCAAAGCCTCAGGAAACTCGTCAACTATAGCTTCAGAAAGCATAGATTTAACAAGATCCCAAAACTCTGCTTTAATAGCCAGAAAAAGGGGAGAAAACCCCTGCAAATTCAAGTAATAAAATGTTTTTGGGTATTTTTCAAACAAAAACTTAGCCATTTTCTCTTGTTGATTCTCTAATGCTATATGAAGAACAGTATTACTGTCCTTATTTGTTCTCTCCAACAAAGAAATCTCGTTAAACCGATCAGCCAAAAACACTAATCTCTTAACAGCCTCAAACTGGCACGACCGTGCAGCAACATGAATAGGAAGATCATCCTTCGTGTTCGGAACACGAAGAAGGTGTTGACATGGCTGCTGTATGATTTTGTCAATCAAGTACAACTGCCCTACACTTGCTGCTAAGTGTAGGATGGTGCTGTTATCCGACTCCCAGACGAGGTTAGAGAAGTCGGAACCTTCATCGAGTTCGTCCCACAAACCATTGGCGTCGTTGTTGAGGAGCATTGAGTAGTGGCTGGCATTGATGGAGATTTTTGGTGGAGAAGGTGGTGTGTTGCTGGGATGAGCCTGAAGTTGTTGTGCTGCCATGAGTGGTAGACTACAGAGTAAGTTTTTGTTTTCTTTGCTATAAAAAATATACGAAGTATATATAGAGGTGTCAAAAATTGATCTGCTCAATGACTTAATCTAATCTGATTCAGATTCCGACTGGTATAGACCCAACCTAACCCAACCTCATCTCATCGAACTCAATCCAAGTACCTATATCTAAATTGACACCTCTAAGTATATAGTATATATTTATATATAGTCTCACATAGTCAAGTCATCCTAGTACAAGTATGTGAGAGTGGTGTGTAAAGGAATCATATTATTTTTTAGTGTTAATGCGCTTGGTTGGTTTTGAAGACTTAATTTTAAGTAGAAAAATGACTTGGAAAGCTAGGAGAGAGGCGTCTGAATTTAATTAGTATGCAAATAATGGAAGATGATGAAATAATTTATGTAAATAGCTTAGATACTTACATTATTTTTCCATTTGGCTCTTAAGTGTACATTATAGATTTACAGTACAAATTTAATAGAATGAGAGACATAATAATCGAGTGGATGGGTGAGTGAAGTAAAAGAGAGCTAGTACATTCAATGAAAAGATGCAAGTATTTTTGTGTAAGAGGGGTAAGGTAATTTGTAAAGAACATTATAAACCGATGTGGTATACGTATGTAAGTGTAAGAGATCGAGTCTTTAAATTTAGAAGAAGGTTATTATTTAGATTTGGCCAGAATTATAATTAATTAACCTTAATGGTAATATATATTTTATACATATTCTTAGATAATATGGTATGATTTCGCAAAAATACTTGCCTAAAGGTTACTCGGCCTAAAAGAATCATGTTAAAAAGCCAAGCAAAATAGTTAAACCAAATAGTGCACTTGTAATGGGAGTAGAAGCACGCCATTCTTGACATCTTAATTGACTTTTCTTCGTCAAAGTTTCTGATTAAGTCAATTTGTTTCCCATTGGTTAGGGTTTTAATGAAGCAAACACCTTTATTTGTTACTTGGAAAATCTACCATTACCCATCAACCCTTGGATTAAATATTTAATGAGGTAGTGAATTGTGCTCCCCTCAAATAATTACATAAAAATATAATTAATTTGTCAAGATAATTTTTTAAGAGAACCATTGGGTGGGTGTTATATGATAAAATGAAGTTAATCCTTAGTCGATATATACTTGATTAGATAAGGTTAATAGTTAAATATAAAATTTAGATCTAGCATTTTGTGAATAAAACCTACGATTTAACCAACATATATATATATATATATATATATATATATATATATATATATATATGGTCCAATTAATCCTTAAATAGTAATTTACATACATAAGGAAAAACCTACAATTCAACCAACATATATATATGGTCTAATTAATCCTTAGATAGTAATCCACATACATAACGAAACACTTTTAGGATATTTTGAGAAACCTTATATCTTAGCTTGGTGGTTTGACTTGGCTCAAAGCCTAATCCATCTTTAGACACTAGACTAAACGGGGCACATTTTAGCCTAAAGGTCATCTTGGTGGTCATGATCAACTCTACTCGTACTAGATATGGTAAGTTGCTAACACATCTATCACTGATAAACTATTATATTATGAACTTGATATTGAAATAGACATGTACAACTGCCACAATCTAGCTAGAGTTTCCTTTTTCACCTAAAAAATCTCCACCAACAAGAAAATGACAATCGGAAGAATATTGTTACACAAAATTCTTGTAAATAAAATAGACAAAACAAATACAATAAATAATATTATACATATGTAATTTAAAAAAAGAAATTATACATATGTATGCTATAACATTACTATGATGGATTGATGGGCACTCAAACCTAGACTAAGTCCACACACACGCAAATGGAGGGAAAAAAAAATGTATGTAGTACTTTTTTTTTTTTTTTTTTTTTTGAATACTTTGTAGTATACTACTTGTATATATGTAGAAGCTATATAAAGGTGTAGAAATTAAATAACGAATGAATGTATACGTCTATCAGTTGCAACAAATTCGATCTATTAAGGCTTAATTCCCTTAATAAGTTGTTCCACTTGATTGTTTGAGCTCATTTTGGCCAAATCTCCGGGTGTACGAAAATTTTCATCTTTCTTCTTGATAAGGTCCTTACCCTCCTTTAGGTTCAACAAGTATGAGACAACATCCCTCAACTTGTTGTCGCGTTCTTTAGCGGCAAGGTGCAGTACAGTTCGCCCACGATGATCACCGGCTAGCAACAATCCACGAGTTATGGAATTCGAATAGAGCTCCTTTAAGACCTCGACATGGCCTCCTAGGCCTGCCTTGTGAAAGGGGTTGGACTTATCGTCGTTGGGGTAACTTATAGAATTTGGAAATTTTTTGAGAAGGTAACGAACTATGTCAAGATTACCATTTAATGATGCATCAGAAAGAGGGGTTAATCCGTCTTCATTGGTACACTTGATTAGCTCGCGTTGATATTTGAATATGGTATGCAACATTTCTGTGATCGATTAGGCAAAACCAACAATCAATTAGTACATGAAAAATAAATCTAAAACACCTAATTAAATTTGAGTTAATTAATGTCATAATTTACATACAGGAAAATTACAAGTAATTGAGAGCTTTTCATTTAATTACGTACCTTTGTTATTATCTGCAATGGCAACATGAACAATTGATTTTCCTTTCTTTAAATTGTCAAGAGCTTTGTCATCTTTAGCCAACCTACAAAACATGTCCTTGACCAAGTCCAAATCCTTGCGACAAACAACTAGATAAAGAGGAGAGATCTTAGAGTGATTCAAGGCGTAGGACCCTTGTGGGTGCTCCTTAACCAAGAAAAATGCCAACTCCATGTGGCCATTCTCCACGGCGAGGTGCAAGGGTATGTCACCCTGAGAATCCTTGTGACATAACAGCCCCTTGTTCTTACCAACCGCCTCTTGAGCTCCTTTGGTGTTTCCACACCTTGCTGCCGTGTGGAGCTCAAGATCATCGATCACATTAGTTCTGATACCATGTTGGAAATTATTTGTCTGGTATCTTCCGGCACCCATTTCAACATCAATAGTAATGGCGTAAACTAAGATGTTGGTATTTATTTCCCGAGGAACTAGGTTGCTTCCTAGGGTGGGAGTAATTTCAAATGGTGATGGCTCATGAAGATACATTTTAGAATGAGACAAACCAAGGAGTTTCATGAGCTTTTCTTTTTCCTTCTCTAACTCTTTTTCTTTCACTGTGTTGGGACGATTTTGGTTATTGGTCATTGTGATTTGTGAAGTATATATATGATGAAAGAGAGCTTATTTATAGCTTTAATGGATGAAATGGATTTTTGACAATGAGAATGATAGAGCTAGGATGTAACATTTATATATATAGCGGGCTAGGTACGGTGGAAAATAGAAATGAATAAGAAATTGCAACAGAATTTCATGTAAATGATACAATTTAAATAATTTTCTACTCATATTTAAAATTTTTCTTTACTAGTTAATGTGATGAAGACCTGTTTACATATATATTTATTGACTTCAACTGCAACACGGCCCCTTCTTATATTAGTATTTGTTTTAGGACTTGTTAATTAAGTTATCGCATCGCTAATTTACATGTTAATCAACATTTTCAGGTCGTTCTAGATTTTTAACCACCAGATATTTTGATTTCTTATGGTTGTATTATCTTAACCTACTACTTCTAACAAGTTAGACTTGAAAATTGCTGGCATTACGTTGTGTTCACATTCATAAACCGTAGTCCTTGACCTTGTGCGCCAAGAAAATGAATAAGAAAAGATGTGAGTTTATTCCTAGTTTGTTTACGGCAGTTCACTCGGTGATGACTACAATTACAAGTGGCTATAAAACTTCTGATTAAGAAATATTGACATTGACCAACTATTTACTTACCGAAAATAACGTAATTTTGCTAACGAGCGTCCCGAGACGTTAGATAAGGATAAATTATATTGGTTGAAATGGTATTAAGTTAAGAATTCATGACAAAATCACACGTCGTTCGGTATAATTAATGTTAATTTTACTCTAATATTTGCATTTTAATTCTCTTATCCAACGCTCTGGGGGGTGCTCATTAGCTTTTGCCTTTATAATTTTGTAGACTAGTTACTAAGTAGTATTTAATCACGTAGCAACATGGCAACGACATGGAAAAAATCAAATAATGCTATTTCCTCTCCTCTTGACACTTCACACGTCTTCTCTAATACAATGAAATTTCCGCTATCTAAACCATTGATTACTCCAAAGTCTAAACAGTCAAGAGTCACTTAGCTAGCCAACTTGATCAATCTAGCAATGGTCCTTGTATTTAAAACCCGTTCTTTCCTTTCACTTATACGAAGTAATATTTTGACTTTTACATAATTTTAAATTATTTATATTTAAATGTAATTTTGTGGTCTGTTGATTAAGGGTTTTGGGGGTTAGAGTTTGGCTTGTTTATGAAAAAATCTTTTAAAAAAAATATCGCCATGTCACACTATGAGAGCTTTTTTTTTTTTTCTTTAAGACACTATGAGAGCTAGCCATGCCCCAAGTCGTTACCTTAACCACAAGTGGAATTTGATTGACATGAGTTTGTTACATACTTAGGGATAAGATTTTTATTAAATAAGGTTCTATTTAGAGACAAAAGAATATTAATGTTAGCCACATTATTCTTTATTACTCTCCAATATATGAATAAATAAGAAAATCTTACTCATATTATGTACAATAATTTTGAAATAGTTTCAATATACATTTAAAATATCAATTTTGATGTTTTTCTTTTTTTACTAAAATAGAAATCATCATGACCAAACATTCAATGCAACGTAGAAAACTAGAGATTATAGTATGGCAACATCATTGAAAATGTTATTTTAGTCTTCGACTTCCGTTCTGAGACTTCAATATTAGAAAGAAACTTCCAAGAAATTCGTGACTAATCCAAGCTATCAAGTGTTCCTATTCGTCAAAATAATAATAATAATAATAAAATTAAAAAAAATCAAGTGTTCCTAGCAATTTCTGTGATTATATATGATTATTAATGTGTTAAATTGCTATATTTTTTTTTTTTTTGGTGCTTAGAGAGCCACAAGGACGGGTGATGAGAATCAATCCCAAGATCTCTTGAAACCTATTCTTGGACCTCAATTGTATCTTAACTTTTTAGTTGATGTGGTCCTTCAACATAGTATCAAATTTATCAACCTCTCTATTCAACCACGTACACATGTTCGACTTATTAATCTATTAGTAAGAATTTGAGGATTGATAAAACATTATTTCATGAAATAATGTTTATCAAGTCGTGAAAATCTAACTTTGAAAAAGGTTTATCAAATCAAGTTTACGTCATTAGATTCGAATCAATTTTAGATCAGTTTATTTTTGTTACAAGTCAAGAATACTTGACCATGAACCAAAATGTTTTAATTTTAGGTCAATCAATTGGGCCAAGGGCGCATTTAATATTTCAAATTTTGGCAAACTTCGTGCTCATTTCAATGTAAATCATTTTTTAATGTCTATTTAAATGATGGAAGAATGTTGTTTCCTAAAGTGATTCATAACTAAGCTAGTCAACATTATTTAAAGAAAAACCACAGCTGTACCAAATTATGGAGAGGGTAAACGACCGTGGCTACTACTAGTAAACACCGAGTGGTCGCCGTGTGAAGACCCCAAGATGCAAATACCTAATGGACTAATTAGCTTGATGAGGTGACTTCATGCAGTAGTCATCACTTCTTAACCTTTCAATTTAATACTAAGTTCATTTGATTAACATTATTTGGTGTAAATTTCCCATTCAATTCATTTTCTTTGCGGACAAGGTAAATAAATGTATCATCTACAGTTAGTATTGAATTATTTCGCTTTATTTTAACTTTTTGCTCTATTTACACAGCCCTCTTGGCTATTAATTGAAAACAAATCCTAGTATATACTCCGTATAAAATATTGAATTTATATTAATATTGCATATATTGTTGTTTCAAAAAAAAAATATTGCATATATTGTTCAAAACATTAGATCTTTACCAACCTTACTCCCCTTTTAAAAAAAAATTACATCACTTTGTGATGGGCGGAGTTTTAAGAAAGTAATATAATACTACATATTATGAGTGGATGAATAATTTAATATAGTAAGAGTAAGATTGGCAAAATAAAAGAGAAAATATGTGAGAGTATATATTTGTATTATTTAAGTGAGGACTATGGAAGAGAGAAATGATAAAAATAATTTGAATGGAGTTTAATAAAGTAAAAGAGTGTAATCAATTAACCTGTACTAAAAGCGAACCTAAAGTGACACTTGTCACGATGTTATAAAAAATTTTCCCGCCTTTTTTTCTTTCCTTTTTTTTTTTTTACCAAATTTTAATGACTTCCATTTTATAACCTACCATAATAATTATTTCCATTTTGACAACACATTTAACCCAATCATACTCAATTTTTTTTTTCTTTTTCAACATATATTTTATATACTATAAATTTTTTAGTTACAAATATACTAACATAGTTTAAAATTAAGATATTGACATATATCATCATCCAAGATTATCATAATATTATTATAATTTTTTTTTCCTCCGACTTAAAATTTATTTTAATTAAAAATTGGAATAATAATTTTGGTAGGATAATTTGTATAAATCTTACAAATATACATAACGTTTATACGAACAACTTAACAAAATCATTTTATTATATTATACTCCTCTGTTTTTTTATAAGTTATGGTTGGATTTGCACATTTGTTGAGACACAACTTTGACCATCAATATCTTTAATTAGAGACTATTATTTTGTTACAAATATTTTTTTTTTGGATAAATTTGTTGAATTAACACCATTCTTTATAAATTTTGTTGTAAAGTTTAATTATGATCGTGCATGGCACGGGATTTAACCTAGTGATAAAATTAAATAGTACTCCGTATAAAGTTACCAAAAAATAGAAGTAAACACTCTTAAAAAGAAAATGATGCATTAAAAAAATGGGGAGTATAAAAAGATTGATTCAAGAAAAAATTAATTGATAATTAAAGATAGTTAAAGTTATTTACAATAGTATCATGTCCTCAAAGTGATGCAACTGTGCAAGTACATGAATGTGAACGTTTACTATTCGTTAATCTAAACTTGTTAGTAGTTAAAATAAGGTGGAACTCAATACTCATACATCATTAAAGATCTACAATGATATTGACATGAATGTGAGACACGAAACCTTAAGTGGCATCCAAACAACAAAAGAAGCCAACGCAATGTAGCAGGTAAGTCAATTGATAGATCAAGTCAAGCATTTGGAGAGTTCCCTTGTCTTTGTGTTTCATCTTTAAGGAAAATAGATTAATTGATTAAAGAAATCTACTCTGCTCTGATTTGTTGGTATCAGTCATAGTATAGAAGGTAACTAAACAAATAAATAAATAAATAAATTACTTGAACAATAAATATATTATGAGAGGGTGCCAACAATTGCCACATGCAGTTAGCCTCTTCATGTAAACTAGTGATCTTTTTGCGTTTGATTTTTTATTGGACCCATGGGCCATGGCAAGGCCCATTACCTTTTTTTTTTTTTTTATATGATTTTTTACTAGGACCAAAGTGTCAATCAAACGAGCATAAAAACAACTTACACATGATTTTTAGATTCACAATTTATCAGCTTAATACATGAACATATTTTCAAATTTATGAGAAATAATGTGCGACTTAAACTCTTCGCCAAATAAAAGAAATATGATTTCACCATTTTCTCAGCAAACTAGTGATGCAAAATCATGTCATGGTAAATTGGTAATCATGGCAATCAAAGGTTTTGGCACTACTAAAAAGGTTAAATTTCACAATTATGATACAATTTTGTTTATAATCAACATAAACTTAAGGGGGTAAGAAGGGGGAAGGAACAACAGAAAAATGGCAACTTTGATCGATCATAGAAGTGCTGTAAAACCAAGCATCAAAGAAAATTTTATTAGTTTTAGAATAGTACAGCTGCTAAAAGAAATAGGAGACTAAAACAAAAGAAATAAATTAAAATACATAAAATGAAGCACAAGAGCAATACAAGAACTTTCATTATTTAACTGAATCCAGAACTAATAATGCGTGTAATTAAATAGGTGATCGAGTAAGGCCCTGTTCTTTTGAGCTTCTGGGCAGAGCATAGCAGAGCAGATTAAAGCAGAGCAGGGCAGAGCAGAGCAGATTGAAACAGCTATTTTTAAGCATAGCAGGGCAGAGCAGAGAAGAGCAAATTGAAGCAAAGCAGAGCAGATTTCAGCAAAGCAAAGCAGCTCTAAAGAACGGGGCCTAATGCCACTTGCTGATTGAGTGTTGATAGCTGCTGAATGAACTCTCTAGTGCATTTTCAGCCTGCATCTGATACTTTTTTCTTGTTGAAGTCTCTGTATTAGTAGTTCCAAACGCGGGTTTGGGGACACTATGTTAATATCTTCAAGGCCTCGCAGCAAGAAAATGTGCTTGTCAAAGTCACAGCAGCATTTTGTAACATATAAATGCTCTGGTACAGTATTGGTTTTAAAAAACCGTACTTCTCCACCTCGGATAGTGTCCAAATGAAGGGTGTTGAGTTTAAGAAATGAACCTTCTGGTGCAATGAGATTGGCATGATTAAGATTGACTAGTTTAAGGGTAGTAAGCTCAGGAAACTTGCCTAGCATATTCATTGAAGCATCTGACCACGTTGAGGATTTCAACGTTATCTTTGTGAGGTTTTTAGGAAGATCAAAGTCGCGGACTCCACTGAATATATCATCCTTGGAGTTGGAAAAGGATATCTTTAGCACTTGTAAATAATTCAAACGCGCCAAGTAGGTTTGCAATGACCAGCCACCTTCAACACCACACAATGCTAACTTTTTTATATTTGGGCAAAGTCCATCTTTGACAGCATTTTCGAAATCTTTACTTGGGTAAGTGGTAGATAAGACTTCAAGGCTGTGGAGTTGCTTCTTGGACAAAAGAGCTTTCCGATATCCTGAGAATTTATGACCTTTACCACCCTTTCCTATAACAAGTTGTTGCAAATGTTGCAATTTTAGTAGCGACCTCAATGAAATATTGTATGATATGTCACCCTCTAAGAAAAGCATTTGGAGGTTCCAAAGCTCAAATAAGGATTCTGGAATGGAGGATTTTGAGCTAAGGAAGAGCCTTAAATACCTTAAATTGACTAAGTTGCTGAAGTCGTCAGATTGGATTCCATGGGATTCTCCCAAGTCCAAGACTCTTAGCAACTTATACTTACTGCTACTTATGGTCTTGCAACAAGCTAAGCTACTAAAGTGTAGATTAAAGTTTATAAATGAACGTACCGAGGAAGGGTCCCAATTGCTCAATGGGGTAGTTCCCTGTTGTTGGATGGATAGCCTTCGCGGCTTGATGTTGTTGATTAAAGATGTAGAGCCCTTCCTGGAAGGTATAGACATAAAGTTCTCGTGCATGGCCTTATCGATGCAAAGTTCTCGTACAAGATCATGAATACGACAAGTCTTTAACCCATCATCAATAGTCCTTCTCTTCCCTGCTTGGACTAAATTTCGATCAATGAGTTGATCCAAGTAACTCTCAGCCACTTGTTCTGGAGGTAGGTTCCCACTTGGTTCTATGAACCCTTCTGCCAACCATAGTGCAATTAGACTTCGTACAGATATGTCACTGTCTTCAGGGAAAACCGCAAAGTAGAGAAAGCAAGGCGTCAAGTTTAATGGTAGATAACGGTAACTTAAACCTAATATTGCAAAACATACTTTATTTTTTTCTAGGGGAACACTCACATCTGCGAGCGTCCTATTCCATATAGCTGTTGACCGCTTCTCACCAGCTAACATTCTCGCTATCACCAAAATGGCCAAGGGTAACCCCTTGCACTTCTCAACTATTTTCATACCCAAGCTTTTGTACTTGGGATGGTAAGATTCTTCTCCAAACACCTTTTTTTTTTAAAAAGGTCCCAACTTTCTGTTATTTCAAGATGTCGGAGAATACAAAGAGCATCACTTGGACTATATTTACTAGCTTTCCTACCCACTGGAGTATTGCGGGTGGTAATGAGGATCCTGCTGCCATTTTTCTTGTCAGGGAAGCAGTCCTCGATCTCATCCCACATTTCTGAGTGCCACACATTGTCCAAAAAGATCAGGTATTTGTTCTTTTGGAGGTGGCTCTGTAGTGCCTTCTTCAACTCTTGTGCATTAAGACTCTCAAGGTTGATTGCTTTGCACTTCATCATTTCCTTGAGGATGATGAGCATAACTTGACGAGTATCATAATCTTTTGACACTGTCACCCACGCACGATTCTTAAAACAAATGTTGACGGTTGAGCTGTTGTATAGACTCTTGGCAATTGTCGTCTTCCCATCCCTACTATAGATATAATCTCCCTTTTGTTTGACCCCTTAGTCAATAGGTTCAACAATTTGATTTTCACGTCATTGAACCCCACGAGATCTTTATCAACCTCCTCCCTCTGCCTTTTTAGGGTGTCCTCAAAGTCAGAGTCTTTAGAACTCTCACCAGCGTTGATGCTATACTTGTCCTTGTTAGCATGTATCTCTGAAACTATCACTTTGATGTCCTGAACCTTATTGTCCACTTTATGGAGTTCTTTTGCGTAAAGTGGGCTGCAGACGACTTTCCAAGAAATTGTCTTCCGTTTTTGCATCTCAATGGAGAGGATGGTGCTTTCGATGATATCCTCTGCCTCAAAAGAAACCTCTCTAATTTGCTTCACTAACTCATCCGACACTAATTCATCCGACACTAAAATAGCATTTCTTAACGCCAAACAAGAGTTTTAGAGAGTAGTAGAGGGTTACCACCAGCAGCATGAATTAGTGTCGGATGAGTTAGTGAAGCAAATTAGAGAGGTTTCTTTTGAGGCAGAGGCACAGGTTGACGTCTACTACGAGTAATTTTTTAACTCCATTACTTTGCACACTTGCAGATCATGTTTTGTTTTTAGTAGAAAAATTTGTTTTTAGTAGTATACTTATAACAAATTGTACTACTAAAAACAAATCAAACTGTCATCAAAACATGGAAGCACCAACAAATGCGGATCTTGCTCAGACTCCTAATCGTCAAGTTTATTGAAAATAATTATCAAGCTTCAATTATTAAATTCCACCTGTAGTACAACTTAGTTTAATGTTTAAACAACTCATGACTTGTTCCAAGTTTTGCTAATACAGATTCTTAAGGGGAAGATAATCTTTTGATAACTTGATTATTATATATCTTTCAAATTTAGAATCAAGAGAATTGATTACTCCTTCCATCCCATAATACTTGACACAGTTCTCATTTTTCGCCGTCCCAAAATACTTGACACGTTACCGATTTTGTAAAGTAACCACTATTATAAAATTATTTTTCTTTACACTCCATGGACCACCGCTTTTTAAGAAATAATAAAAAAAATTTAGACCCCCTTCCGCCTTCTTAACAACTAGCCCCACTTAGTTTTTAGCCAATAACAAAAGAGCATCTTTTCTACAATAAACAAATATATTAAAAGGACTCACTTACATTTTTATTAAACTACGGGCCTGTTAACTTCAGCTTAATTTCAATTCAGTTCAGCTCTAATCAGTTCAGTTCAGCTCTAATTATTTCAGCTCCTAGTTTCCTTCTCTCATAAAATATTCATTTAAGCTGAGCACAATTCAGTTCACTTCAACTCCAATTAGTTCATTAAATGTGAACATGCCCTACGTGTTCCCTACAACGCCTCAAGTATTATGGGACGAAGGGAGTATAAGCCTACACTAGTGGAATCACTGGCCCGAGGGGGCACATGCAACCCCCGAGAAAGGGAAAAAAACCAAGCAAGTTAAATTCGAACAATTATACTACTTCAATACCTAATTTAAGGAGGAAAAAATCTAGATTTTACATTAATCGATTCAAATGGAAACTGTTAAAAACAAGATAATTCTACGAATATAAACAACATTCGATTGAATAACTCTGTAACACAAAATATTCAGCTAAATATCATCCAAAAATTGATCGCAAACACAAAATTCGAAAAACAAACAAAACTCTGAACAATTGAAAACACACAAAGAATGTATTGAAATATCATCCAATTAGAACAATCAAAAACGTAATTCAGAAAGAAAAAAGTATACAATTAATACATAAAAAAATAAGCCGAAAAATATACAAAAAAATTGAAAGAAAAAAAAGAGCAAAATTGAACAACATTATGAAAAAAATCGAATATGTTCCTGCTGAATTCTGCTTCCGTCAACGTCCGAGGGCTGGTAATGGTTTACCGTCCAATTGCACACTTACACAGCCAATACAAATTAGCTAGCCCGGGGGTTATCCGGGAATAACCACTCCGATGCTAAAGTCAGTACCTTTGTGAGAGGAAGGAGAAAGAAGGGAGAATGAAGAGAGAGAAAGTGTTTTTTAGAGAGAGATTCTACCTTTGAAATGGGGATTTGCTTGGGTATTTATATAGACACAACCAAGCAGGTACCACCTATAGAGATAGGTGGCACACCGACCTTATAGGCAGTAGGTGCCTACGTGGCCCCAAGCAACTCTCCACGTGCCAGAGAGACATGCTACGTGACGAGAAGCAGCTCTCCACGTGGCATAGAGTGATGCCGGTAAGGACCATGGTTTTATTCGCCGATTAATGAGGGCTTATATTGCACAGCACTCTCTTACCGGTTTATGAAGGATACTACCGGCATATCAAGGTTGCTACCGTTATATCCCGTACAACTAGCCCCACAAAACTAACGTCCTCACTTGCGATGGAACCTTGTGACGCGTTGCGTAAGAGACAAAATGAGAAAATATTCGATTTGCCCCCCAAGTGAGCGAATTGCCGATAGGCTTTGCTCAATTTAAAACCGAAAAAATCTACGATTTGCCCCCCAAGAGAGCGAATTGCCGATAGGCTTGCTCAATTTAAAGCCGAAAAAATCTACGATTTGCCCCCCAAGAGAGCGAATTGCCGATAGGCTTGCTCAATTTAAAGCCAAAAAAATCTACGATTTGCCCCCCAAGTGAGTTGCCGATAGGCTTTGCTCAGAATAATGTAGGAATTAAGTGATTAAATTGCGAAACTTACAACAATTTGATGATGAATAATTGAATATCGCCGATTTGATCTTCCTCTAAGTGAAGCCCCTTAGTCGGAATTTCAGAGAGAGTATGAGAGGGACCAGAGAAAATTACAGAAATGATACAAGTAAAAAGGAAGAATAATGATGTATATCAGCTACAAAATTTACAAAAATGCCATTATTAATAAGGTGTATTGTAGACGGTTGGATCTGATTTAATCAATGGGCCGAATTTATTCTTATATACAAGAAATTTATTTTATAAAGAGGAGTGTTTATATTTTTGGTGGACCGATATAGCATTGAAAATTTTACCCTACACCCTAGTGTAGGATGTGTTGCCTACACCCCCCTATGCTACGTCGTTTTGCGATTCTTTCCTTTTTTTTTTTCCTTTTTTTCCTTTTTTTCTTTTTTTCTTTTCTTCCTCTTTTTTCCTTTTTCCTTTGTTTCTTATTATTCAATTTATGTATATATATGATTTTAAACCCTATTTTTTCTCTCTCTTCAATTGATCAACCTCCATTTTTTATCTACATTTTTCTCTCGCTAATTCATCTTCTTCATTTGATTTTTTGAACGAATTCGTTAATTGTTACCGATCATCAATGGCGAATTCTGCATCTGGAGATTGCGTTGATTTTGATCGCGATTGCGAGCGTGTGTTTCCTTCTGGACTTCGTTTTGTTGATTCGTTTGTGCAACAATGTGAGTAATTGTGATCATAATTTTTCAATTTTTAATTATCTCTAATTAGTTCTGTTATAATGCTCTGTTAATTTGAACTTAATTGATGTATTATTATTCACTTTCGATTTTTGAATTTACTACTTTGATTACATTATGATGAACGTTTTTGGATTGTTGTACTTTGTATGAACATTTTGTTGCTTCATTTGTTGTTTCATTTGTTGTTTTCTCTATGTTTTAGAATTGTGTGTTTTTGTCGTATATTTTGTAGATTATACTTTCAATTAATCGTTTATGTTTTCTTATTCATTCTTACTAATGTGTTTATGTTTAGTCTTAAAGTCATTTTTGATCATTTATTTTTACATTTTTATATCGATATTATGTGTAGTGGTAAATAATGAAAATATTGTTCAAAATATTATGTGCTGAAATTCTTTTTGCAATTGATCATGTGCTGTTTTGATATTGAACATTTTACTTATTTGTTATTGTTCATTCATGAAACTCTTTATGATCATTTATAATTGTATATTGTGCAGTGGAAAAAAATGATGATATTATGTATTTAGAAGCAGAACAGTCTGAATTAAAGGATAAAGAATTTAAATCTGAAGATGAAGCTTTCGAAGCGTATAATGAATATGCTTTTAGGAAAGGTTTTGGAATTCGAATTGGGAAGAGTAAGAGAAGAAGATATGATTCTTTTTTGATGAAAATATTTGTTTGTTGTAATGAGGGATTCAAAGATAATAAGTGTAAGAATAAAAGGATTTATGAGAAGTTGGATCATCGAACTGGTTGTTTAGCTTTTGTGCAGTTTCATATTGATCATTTAGGGGTCTATACATGTACAAGACATGAAATGGTTCATAATCATGCTATGATTCCTCCTGAAAAAAGGCATTTGATAAGGTCTCAAAGAGATGTGAATAAAGAGCAGCTTCTTTTCATTTCAACAATGAAATTGAGTGGAGTCAAAGTTACTGATTCTTTGAGGGTTCTAAAGAAGGAGGTTGGGGGATCTCCTAATCTTTGTTTTACTGCTTATGATGCTTATAATGCATTGTCATCTGAAAAAGCTGCCCAAATTGAAGGATGTGATAGTAACCAATTGATTAAATATTTTGCCAAGAGACATGTGAATGAGACAGATTTTTATTATGATTTTGAACAAGATGATAGTGGTGCTTTAGTTAGTTTTTTTTTGGCGTGATGGTAGGATGATGAGAGATTATCATTACTTTGGAGATTTGTTGGTTTTTGATACAACTTATAGAACTAATAAATATGGAATGATATGTGCTCCATTTATTGGGATGAACCATCATGGTAACAATGTCATGTTTGGTATGGGTTTTATTCTTAATGAGCGCACCGAGTCTTTTGATTGGTTGTTTGATACATTTTTGCACTCAATGGGGAGGAAAAGTCCCATTACAATTATGACTGATCAAGCACAAGCGATTGCAGCGGGTATAAGAAACATTTTTCCTTCAACTGTTCATCATCGTTTATGTGTATGGCATCTTGAACAAAATTCTAAGAAACACATTGGAGCATTGAGAGCTTTGGAAGGCTTTACAGATTTTTTTGGATATCTTTTGAAGTATTGTGAAACTCCTGCTAAATTTGAATATTTCTGGAAAAGGTAAATTATTGTTTTTTGTATTTATTTTTTATTTTTATTATGTGATATATTTGATTATTATGTGATATATATATGAACATTTAGTGTTTTACATATGATCATAATATTATTAGTGTCCATATTGTTTATGATCATTATTCTTTATACAAATGTACATATTTTAATTTATATTTTGTTCATTTTTAAATTAATATATGATCATTTCTGTTATACAGGATGTGTGATAAATACAAATGTGAAAATGATGATTGGTTATGTGATTTGTATAAAATAAAGGAAATGTGGTGTCCTGCTTATTCTAAGAAGTATTGGTCTGGTGGTATATTGTCTTCTCAACGTAGTGAAACTACTAATAAGTCAGTTTCACAACGTCTTAATAAGACTCAAGGTTTATGTGATTTTTATCATGTTTTTCTTGATGTCATTTCTGAGTGGAGAAGTAAGGAAGGTGCAAGAGATTACAATACTCTGAGGGGTAATAGGCACCTAGCTTTTGCTAATATTGGTATATTAGTTCATGCAAGATCATTGTACACTATTCAAGCTTATGTTCTTTTTGAAGAGGAGTTCATTAGGGGGACAGCTTATGATCATGTTGATAATGGTTTGCGTTTTCCAGAATATTCATATCTTCTTTGGAGGCCTGGGAAGGATATAATTAAGCATGAAGTTGTTTTTAATAAGGAAACACATGCAATTTGTTGCACATGCATGTACTTTAGTGAGACTGGTTTACTTTGTTCTCATTCTCTTCGAGTATATCATTTGCATTGTGTGCGTAATATTCCACAAGAGTATATAATGAAACGATGGACAAAGGCTGCCATGTGTAGTCATGGTATTGAAGAACCTACTTTGAGGACAAATGTTGTGGCTACTAGTGTTTGGAGGTCACAAACAATCAGAAAGTTTGTTAAGTTGATAACAAGTTGTCAGAATTCTTTGAATGCAAGGGCAGAGGTTGAGTGTTATTTCAATCTGTTAAAAGAAAAGGTTGAGAGTGTATCAGGTGTAATTGACTTTATTGAACCTGTTAAAGAGGTTGAAATTGTTGATCTTGAGATCAAGAATCCTCAAAAAGCTAGGCCTAAAGGTGAGAGGAATGTAAGGCCTAAGAGTACCTTGGAGAAGCAGTGTAACAAGGCAAAGGGTAATTTCAAGAGGAAAAAGTCTATGTACACTCCTTACAAAAGGGGTATAGGGCAAGCAGTTGTACAGGTATATGATCATTTCATATTTTCAAATTGATCATTTCAGTTTTCGTAAATGATCATTTATGTTTTTTTTTAAATAGGAACTTGATGAGAACGGTTGTGCTGTTACTTATGCTAATTCTATTAGTGATCCCATTGAATTGATTGTTTTGAGCAATAAACGGGCTCAGGTAAATTCAAATGTGCCAAAAAAAACATTTTATTTATATTTTATTAATATTGATTTTTATAATTTAAAAATATAGGTCGGCTTAAAATCAGCTGTTGTAGAAGAAATTCCTTCTAGTTCTAAGGAATCAAATCATAGTATTTCCAATGATTTTGATCAGGTATGTTTGTTTGTTATTGATTATAAATTTATTTTATTTTTTGGCATTTATGATCTATATTATAATTTTTTTTTATTTAATTTTTTATATTTTTTTTTGGTTTTTTTGTAGGCTACTGGTGAAAGCTCTCTTTCATCTATCATATCTATTGATGTTGATATTTCATCTATTGCTAAGGTTTTTTTTCCATATTTGTTTGTATAAGTGTTTGTAACTGATCATATACTGGTTTATTAATGATCAATTTAATTTTTTTTAAAGGCGAAGGATTTAAATCTTGAAGGTGTTTCTGCTGTTCAACCTTGTTCTAATTTTGGTGCAAATAAAGGTGCTTCTGGTGTTAAAACTTACTCTCAAATTAATCCAAGAGTTCCAATTCATACTAGTGCGTCAACAAAATCTCCTGTTGTTATTCAACCTACTGTTCCCAGGAATGTTCAAAATCAAACTCAGAATTGTTCAAACACCAATCTAGAAATGATCATATCCAACTCCAGGAATGTTCAATCAACAAATGTTCAAGTTATTTCTCCTACGGTTCAAATAAATGATCAAGGATTTCGTGTTCAGAATGTTCAAGTTACTCCTCCCACAGTTCAAAGAAATGATCAAGGTGCTCGTGTTCCAATTCTTCAATCAAGAAATGTTCAATTAGGTTCTAAAAAGATTTCTTCTAAGTATGATAGGTTGTTAGCCTTTTTTGATACAAGTGTAGCTAAACGTTTGGCTAATAAAGATAAATAATTAGTATTCCAGAACTTTATAAACATTAGACTTTTTTGTAATGTTGATTTAATTACTATTTTGTAATTTTGAATTTTCGATCTATTATGTAAAAGACATAAATATTATATTTTATATAGTACTATTTTAGTATATTTGAACTTTATATTAGAATTTTATATGTTTTTAAAATTATACATTTATCAATGATTATTTAGTCATTAGAATTTTATATGTTTTAAAATTCTATATTTATCAATGATTATTTAGTCATTTGTATATGAACAAAAGTAAGAACCAACATCCAATTTATAAAACTTATAAAAAACTTTCATTCAAAGATTAAAATGAAATATCAATTACAATAATATTAAAATAAAATATAAAAAACTTTCATTCAAAGATTAAAATGAAATATCAATTACAATAATATTAAAATAAAATCCATAAGTCTATTTCTAAAAAAAAAATAGTCATATATAAGAAATGAACATATACATAGTTGTAAATGAACATTTGAAACTACAAAGTTGCAAATTTTCTAGCTTTCCTTCTATTTGCTCTTGATTCAGTGTTTTCTTCAAATAACATCAGTTCTGCTGTGTATTAGAGCCTTAGATTTCTAATTTGTTCCACCTGTTGAACAAAATGAATTGTCAAATTTTAATTAAACAATCTTTACTGTTTCATAAATGAATATTATATCTTAAATAATTGATCATTTATAACTCTTACATTGTTTGGTTTTAAATCACAAATCCAGCTCTCATTAGGATCAGCAGTGAAGGTTTCCATATGCTTCATAATGTAAACTCCACAGTTTGTATAGTCATTGTTGCTACGCCATTTCATCTTTTCCAAAACAACTGTGTAGTCTTCAATTCTTTTTGCATCTTGATATCCAAGGTGTTTCATGTACTCTGCCAATCCTTTTAACTGATAGAAAAAAGAGTAAAAATTGTTTAGAAGTTTGTATTGTGATGAAGACATGAACAATTAATAAAATATAATTGATCATGTAGTCAACTATAAATGAACATATTATCTCACCATCATTTTTGGTTGTTCTTCATATTTTGCTTGGACTGATACCTTTTTTGGTAGTTTTCTATTGTCAATTATATGAATTTTGTCTTCAATATGATTGACGCACAACAGAAAAAAATGTTGAGAAGTTGATACTGGGAAGAAGACCTGAACAAATTATATAATGTTATTGGACAATATATTGAAGGTAATTGAACATTTGTATTAAACAAGAATTAATACCTGTTTATATCCAACAATGCTGTCAATTTTATTCAACTTCAGTTCATTGTCAATTCTTTCTATGAAGGCATTAATTCTTGTCTTCATTGATGATCCTTCTCGACAAACTCTATTTGTGCACATAATGTGCTGTTGAAATAGAAACAAATATATAGAAGTTAAATGAATTTTTAGCAATTATTTATCATAGGAAAATAGAATCAATAATATAAAAAAAGAAGAAAGACTAACATGAAGCACTGTTGAGAAATAAATCTTGTTTCTCGGCTTTTTATGATTAAGAAACCTTGCCCATCCATCTATGACACAATTTGTCACTTCAACATCATCTCCAAGAGTTTTCATTTCATTTCTATTGATGAGATTCAAGCCATCATAGTATAAGAGTGCACTGCATTATGAACATTTAATAATATGAATGTGAACATATTTTTATAAAAGATATTAAACCTTAAGTTTAATTAGTGTAAGTAATTACCTTTCATCTTTTCCACCAAGAGCAAAGTCTACTGCAATTTGGTTCATGTCTTTCTCATCTTTAAACAGATCCTTGTACTTGACCAAATAAGGAGATCGGAAAGCAGGAGGAATTGTTTGCTTTTCGCGTTTTGGTCTTGTTGTTCAATATAAAATATTGTTAAATTAGTGTAAGTAATTATGAACATTTAATAATATGAATGTGAACATATTTTTATAAAAGATATTAAACCTTAAGTTTGATTAGTGTAAGTAATTACCTTTCATCTTTTCCACCAAGAGCAAAGTATACTGCAATTTGGTTCATGGATTTCTCATCTTTAAACAGATCCTTGTACTTGACCAAGTAAGGAGATCGGAAAGCAGGAGGAATTGTTTGCTTTTCGCATTTTGGTCTTGTTGTTCAATATAAAATATTGTTAAATTAAGAAAATTATGAGGAACATAAATGAACATTTGAGTGTATATAAATAAATTTGAAATTATACCTTTCAACCTTTTCCTTTTCAGTTTTTTTCTTCTTTTCTGCAATTGACTTTTTCTTATCATCATTCCTGGTCATATTACATAACACAAATGTACATTTAGGTATATGAAAATGTTCATTATTATTTTTGAACATTTACTTAATATAAATAATGTACCTTTTTTGTGACTTTTGAGGATGAAGCAACAATCTTCTTGTTTTCACTGAAAAGTCAAACAATGTCAGTACATATTAATAAAATAAAAGCTTCTTATGTAACACCCTGAATCATTTTCAATTCATAAAATGAAAGATATTGATTTAACATAAACCTATTGATTTAACATAAACCACACATTCATATTACATATTCAACAAAATAATGTTCACACATACAATAGTTTGAGAAACACCAGTTTCAAGTTACAACACGATAGTAACATAAGTTAAATTGTTCCATCTAGATATTTATCCTACACCATTACATAACCCTAATAGTAAGACATGTCTTCAGGATTTTACCCCTCCACTTTTTCATCATTTTTTGTTTTTTCAAAAACATCTTCCTTGTTTTGTTTTCCACCTCCAACTGTGTTTTTTGGATCATCACTTTTTTCACCACCATCTGACCTAGGGTCAGCATCAACCACTGAACCAGATCCTGCATCTAAGAAAAAATTTAATTAGATATAATATTATTTCTTTGTAAATGAACATTTGAGTATTTATAATTGAACATTATACCTGTTCTAGGCAATCCTTCATTATCTGACCTAGTGTCAACATCAAATTTTGAACCAGTTGCTGCGTCTAACAAAAAAATACAATTAATAATGAATATTTCTTGTTTGTAAATGAACATTTACACTTTTTAATTGAACATTATACCAGTTCTAGAAAATTCTTCAATTCTTTGTTCTGAAGCTGCTGAAGTTTTACCCACATCCTTTTCTGCAGCTGTATTATAAATCATCATTTTGGAGATACACTAAGTTAATAGTATTAACACATAATAATTAGAAATGAACATTTCTAATTAAGTTTATGTACATTATTATTAAATATATGAACATATTACCATTTGTTGAAATTATTGGTTGTTCAATTATATCACCAAGTGTTGAAGAGGTGGGCCATGTTTCTGTTTAGGACAATTTAGACCACAAATTTAGAATTTTTCATATAAAAATTAGGATATATAGTCTCTTTTAGTTAGAATTTACCAATGGCTGGAGAAGGTGGAGTCAACCCCAAGCTGAAAGCTTTTCTGATGTCATATTCTTGTTCTTTTTCCTTTCCCTTTTTAGTTAATTTCTTCCCAGTCATTTGCTTCTCAGTTGTTTGCTTTTCAGACCCTTGAATCAGATTCTTCTCAGCTTGTGCAAGTGCATTTAGGAAATCCTCACTGCCAAAGAATTCTTCATCTTGGCTTAGAATTGATGGTTCCCTAGCTGCCACCTTTCCTAAAACTTCATCAACTTTTTTCACCAAGTCATTTCCAGGGAAGATATCCTTTGCCTTCACCAATTTTGAAGAAAGCTTTGACAGGTTTGAACAAGTTGTTTTTACCAGGGAAACAAAATTATCCATAAAAACCTATATGAATGAATATTAAAAATTATGCAGTTGAACATTTCAGATTATACAAATGAACATTTATGTTAACAAAAGTGATCATTTTATAACCTTAGGACTTTCTTCAACTTCTGCAGCAATCCTTGGTAGAATCTTCCCTCTCCCAAATCCCAATTCTAATTCAATCTTCAACCTCTCAAGAACCATGTCTCTATTCCATGCAGATATGATAGGAATTGTTCTTGGAGGCCTTTTGTCTAACCTTTGAACTCTATCAAAATAGAACAACTACAAGAAAAAAGAAAACATGGAACAGAACATAAACAATAAAAAAAGTGCATTTATTTAAATTTAAATGAACATTTTGTATCTAAGAATATACCATCAGAAATTGAAGAGGGCCTTTGTAGAACCCCTTGCCTTGCTGCTTTCTCCAATCAACATGACATTTGATAAGTGAGTCATATACAAACTGACACCAGTTCAAATTTTTTATGTTTTCTTTGTCCATCATAGAATAAAGAAATTTGAAATGGCATTGATTGTTTGATACACATTTCATCAAGCAGTTCACAGCCACTGCTAAAAAGTTAGTAATGAAATGTTCACTTGGTGGTCTGTTGTTGGTGAATTTATATTTATGTATCCATTCACAATCTGCCAACAAAATGAACAAAACATTTATACTTTTGATCATTTAATGTATTTAAAATGAACATTTAAAACTGATCATACCTGACTCACTGATGGAGTTTTTCCTGACCATGATTTTCTCCATTTCTTCAGAAATTCTGCATACTCCTCGCTAATTTTATCAGACTTTGGCTCAACAATTGGAATTTCTCCTGTAGGCAAGCCATAAACTACCCTAACATCCTCTACCTCAATTTCTATTTTTTCATTCTTTGGTAGTTCAAAACACTGGCTATTTTCTTCAAAACTTCCCAATAACCAGTTACAGAACTTTTGATCAAGTTAAGGTAAACTAATGTCAAGAAGTGATCCTAACCCTATATCAACAACTTGTTGTTTTTGGGTAGGTGTCATCTTTTTTATCCATGCAATGAACTTCACATGTCCTCCTCTCTTTGAAGATTTCTCTTCCTCAAATTCATCTTCCTGAATTTCCTCAACTTCATCAGTTTCTATTGCTTGAACCATTTCAGTTTTCATTTTCTTTTTTCTCCTACCTTCAACCTTTCCTTCATCATACAGTACCATCTTTTGCTCCTCCTTTTCAACCTTTGCCTTCACTAAATTCCCTTTCTTTGCCTGTTTCTTCCTTGGCTTTACTTCTTCCTCTTCCTCCTCTTCCTCCACCTCATAATCATCCTCACTGACAGGCTCTTCTTCTGCTCTATAAACTGACTCTTCACTATCATCATCACTGTCAGTAGAACTTTCATCAGTAGGATCTTGAGAGGGTTCATCTGATGGTACTTCTTGTATTTTTTTTCTCTTTCCAGCATTTCTCTTGGCAGGACTGACATCTGAAAATTAAATATATAATTTTGTTTAAGTATTGAAAATGTACAGTAAGCAAATGATAAAATGAACAAAATTGTTTTCTCAAATGATCATTCTATATATAGAAATTGAACATTTATAATATATCATTATATACCTGCTTTTCTTTTGCCAGCAACCTTAGAAGTTTTCTTCACTTCTTCTGGAGTTTTCTTTTTCCCACCTATATATTGAAATTGAACATTAATGATATACCATCATAAATGATCATTCTATACATTAAGATTGAACATTTACCCTTTTTGCCTTGGTCTGGAGGATATTCAGCAGGAGCACCTGCCATTTTTTTTTATTGGAGTAGGTGTTGGAGGTGGTGCATCAGCTTCCTTTTGAATAGGAAAATTCCTTGTAGACATTCTTCTCTTCTGTCCTATTTTTGCGGTTTCTTTAGCAGGTTCAACATCCTTCTTCAGGCTTCCCTTTTCAGATTCATCTAACAGAACATCTATTGCTTTTAAAAAAATTTATGTCAGTATATTTGAAAGTGTAATATTTATTGTGTAACAGAAAAGTATTATGATTACCTTGGCTCCTTGTAATTCTACCACTTGGCACAACAACAAGGCTTTTGTTTTTGTTTTTCCTTGCAACCATTTTGTATCTTGTTTTCATTTTGGTTGACTGATCACTTTTTTGTGATGATGGAGCTGTCTCCTCACTAAGTTTTGTGGAAACTTTATCATCATCTTGATCTAGAAGATAAGTTTCATCCTCAATTTGAACAAAATCAGGTGCAATTTGTGCTGCATATGAAATGATCAAATATAAAAGATTAAATAAACATTTATTTAAATTGGATGACAAATGTTTACTATATACAATATAAATGAACATTTCAGATAATGAATATGTACATTTTCCACTATTTACCTTTCGGATCTGTTGTCTTTGTAGACTCATCTTCCACTGTTTTCTCTTTAGGGATTTTCTCCTTTTCAGGCTCTTTTTTTCCCTCTTGTCCTTCTATGAAAATTTAATTAGTTAATATTTATATATTTTTTTAATCTTATTGAACATTCAATATTATGTAGATCCAATATGAACATTTTATGTAATAAAAATGTACATTTATAAATTTTTACCTTCTACATTTGTTGTCTTTGGAAAGACATCTTCCACAGTTTTGTCTTTAGGGCTTTTCTCTTTTTCAGTCCCTTTTTTTCCTTCTTGTCCTTCTATTAAAATTTATTTAGTTAAAATTTAATTTTTTTAATCTTATTGAATATTTTATATTATGCTTTTCCAATATGAACATTTTTTGTAATAAAAATGTACATTTTAAAATTTTAACCTTTTTCCACAGTTTTCTCTTCTATTGGCCCTTTTTCTTTCTTTTTTGCTTCACCTTCAAAAGTAATAGTATTGTTAAAATTGATATTTATGACTATTAAACAAAAATATTCAATAAATATGATCATTTACCTTTCCTGATTTCCTTGCTTGCCTTTTCCATTCTTTTGAGATTTCTCATAATTCTGATTGTCGATTCTTTGTACTTCCTGTAAATGTATGATATTGTGATATAACTTTGAAATATATTCATTAATTGATTAAATTAATTCAATTATTTAAATTTAAACATACTTTGGGTTTCTCTCTATGTCTAAATGTATTTCTTGCATCTTGTCCTTTAATGTTGTTATTCTTGAATCATCTTTGGGTTTTCTGATATTTCATTAAAAATATGTTTGAATTTACAATTTTGATTAGTAAATAAAAAAATGAACATATAACTTATATTACTATTGGCCATGAGCAAACTTTTTTGTACTGATTTTCAAATGAACATATAGTCTATCTTAATTGAACATTTAAGTTTTCTTACTTTTGGCCAAGACTATTCTTTACTGGATTGCTTTGCACTTTTGGTTCAACTTCTTCTTGCTTGCTGAAATCAATATTAAGAAATACTTTAAATAAAAAATGCACATAAATTGTACATAAAATATACTGTTATAAAAATGAACATTTGTTTATATAAAATTGATCATTAGTATACCTTTCATCCATACTCTCTTTGTCAGTTGTGTTATGTGTAGCAGACACACTCTTAGTTGTTGCATTAGTAGCAGGAATGTTCTCACTTTATTCACTTAAAAAAACAGAATTATTTTATATAATATGATATTAAAGTATGAACTAATTTATACAATGAAGAAGATAATTAGTTATTTTGGTATAAAGCTTTTATACCTTATTGTTTGATTTGTCTCTGGTGGTCTTGATTTTGACATAACAAATTTCACTCGAACCTTTTTTTTTCACTAAAATTTTAAGAATTACCTAATAAGTTTGGTATATATATACAATGTACAATAATTGAATGTAAAAACAATTATTTTATACATATAAACTTACTTGTTTAAAGTGTATCTTTCATAACTATTACCATATTCATTTTGTTCTATAACCTTCTTTAGAGTTAATGGTTCAGATTTCCCATCCCTAAATTGAAGCAAGTGTATCACTCTAAATGGCACATCACTACATTATAAATTAATTACATGACATTAGTTTGAATGCATATCACTAAAATGATTATTATCATATTTATATATGTGCATGATGATTTAATGAAATGTATATTTGTTATTTAAATCTCAATGAATACTCAAATGAACAAATATACATATATGATCATAATTATATCTATAAATGAACATTATGAGTATCAAATATGATCATATACAATGATGTTTCAATGAAATGTACTTTTGTTTTTAAATCTCAATAAATACTCATATGAACAAATATAAATATATGATCATAACTATATCTATAAATGAACATTATGAGTATCAAATATGATCATATACAAATAACATTAAACAAAGATAAAACCAATTTTTATCAAATACAACTAGCATATTAGACATGAACATAATATATTCTGTAAATGACTAATTACCTTGGTAGTGGAGACATTGTTAAATCCGTACCAATTGACTTGTCAATATCTTTTAAAAGTTCCGGATCTACAATTGGATCATTTTGGCGGTTTTTTTTCAATTTGTCTACTCTTGACTGAAGAGGTACATCATCATCATCGTCTCTGTTTTATTTAATAAATTGTTAATGTTTTAGTTATTTTCAGTAAAATCTTAGAACAATTACTACAATCGCAAAAAATTTTAACAAAATTAGGTTTTACAAATAAATTCGCTCTATAATTTTCATCGCAAGAATATGAACAAATTAGGTTTTACAAAAGTTAGAGTTCATACATTTCTTCAGAAATTTTCAACAAATTACTCGTCTCTGAAGTATTCTTCTCCAAAATCATACTACAATTGCAAAAAATTGAACAAAAATTAGGTTTCACACATAAAATCGCACTATAATTGTCATCGAAAAAAATGAACAAAATTACTTACTCTTTAGATACATTTTGCTCCGATTTTGCAATTTCTTCTTTCATGTTCTTCTCTGTAGTGGTTTTTTGCAAAATCGCACTACAATCGCAACAAAATGAACAAAATTAAGGTTTCACACATAAAATTGCACTACAATCTCAAAAAATGAACAAAACTAACGAAATTAAACTCTTTTTGTTGTGATTGTTTAATTTCATCTCGAATATCAGACATTTGAAGCAATTATGAAGTGTTTTGAAGCAATTTTGCAATAATTTGAAGAGAATTTCGTTCCGATTCGACGGTGTTGATGAGAGAGAAATTCTAGAGAAATGAAGAAGATGGTTTTTTAGAGAGAGAATAATTTGAAATGGATAGTTTTTTTTTTAATAATATATATGTGGGGTAGGGGAAGTTATTTCTAATTTACTGTGGTTAGTGGGGGTGAGTGGGGGTAGTTACTGTAGTTTGTGGGGGTAGGGGAAAAACGCAAACGCTGCGTTTTGTAGGGGGTGTAGGTTATGGTCCTATACTAGGGTGTAGTGTATACTAATTAATATAGCATGGCTCATTTTCTTAGAATGTGGGCCGTGATGGGTAAACAACTAGAGCTGCAGTTGTTGTCTGGCCGGCCCAAATTTTCTGGCTTTTTACAAATACAATGGAAACTGCAAATATGGAAAATGGATTATGGAATATTTATCACTCCAAATTTTCCAATTTAACATTCCATGAATTAAAATTTGCTACGCGAACCAAATGAGCACTAATAACAACTTGCCCATGATGTCCAGATTATTAATTTTATCAACATAATACATGACCATAGCTTCAAATTTATGAGAAATAATGTGCAACTTCCAAGCTCATCATCAAATGAAAGAAATAAGATTTCATCAATTTCTCAGCATATAATCCTAATAACTTTTGCAAACTACTGATGACAAAACAAAATAATGTCATGGTAAATGGTAATACTGGTAATAAAAGGGTTTGGCACTACTAAAAAGTTAAATTTCACAATTATCATTATGATACAATGTTGATCATAATCAACATGAAAAATGCATCTTACTGAAGATAAATGATGAAGCAGAACAATAACATATCTCTGATGCCAAAGCTAGATGTAAAACAACAATCATGAAGTTAAGTGTGCTTCCAAATAGTATACATTTTTTTTTTAATGATGTAAACTTAATTTAGACTATACCACACATCAAATGAAGCTGTCTCCATATCTCACAAGCAGTAGCTGCAAAGCCTGCAAGAAAGATGGCAATGGCCACGAAATCCTACATCTCGAAATTCAGAATCTTTGAAATCACACAACCAACAATCCAACATGGGATCTAAGTCATATAACGATTAACAATAATGTTACAACAAACAGCTGAAACAAGTAGTGATTCAATCTTCATTAGGATGCTTGATGATCCTCTGCAGGATCACTGTCCTAGCTCTTCTTATATCTCGACTATACTTATTTCCATGCTCCCCAAGCTCATCAATTGCCTTCAAAAACTCAGCCTGCTTCTTCTTAATCTCCTCTATCACCACGGAAACAGCCCCCTCTTGAGTTAGCGCGATTTCAGTATGTGCCAACATTGATTCAACCTGAACCATTAACTTATCAACAAGAATCCGTATACTATCCAAGTCCTTAATTGCAATGTAAGTCCCAACTTGCATTGAATTAATCAATTCCCTCTGATTCTTCAATTCATTCTCATACTTCTTCCACAACGAATTCATCCACCTTCCAATCCCTCCCATCGGAGCAGAAGCAGCAGCAGCCAGAGCCGAAACCAACGGAGGGGCCGAAATGGCAGCAGCAACAACAGAACAAATGATCACAGAAATAAAAGAGGCTGCAAATATAATGTTAGACACCTTCCTATAAACCTTCAACGATTTCAATTTCTTATCAAGCTTATGTTTTCGGAGCTGCAATTTCTCAAACATTACAACCTGCTGTTTATAAACAGATTGAAACATACTGAAAAATTCAGTAGTAAAAGGATCACCAGCCTCTTTAAAATTCCTCAATTCCTGCAAAATTTTACTATAATCCCTATTTTGATCACCATTGTTCTCCTCTAATTGAAGCAATGCAACTTGAATAATCAACTGGCGATCACGAACCCTTTTAAGACATTTATCCAGAGCAGTAAAAAAATCAAGGGTTTGAACACTATACTCAAAATAATCTTGAACTAAACCAAACAATTCCTGATTATTCCAAATATCTTTCTTACACTCTAAAATAACCCTAACAACTTCTTGATTCATATCAATTAAACAACCAGCAACTTGTCGCAGAGAATCAAGAGATACAGAATGAACCTCAAATCCACCATCTTCTTCAGCTGAGTCATTGCTATTTTTAGCAAGTGAATTGATGATGTTAGTAGTTCGTTCATGGAGGTGAGAATCGAAGACTTGAACATCTGGGTCTAATTGACAGGCCTGTAAATACGAGCTTAATTCACCAGTGTTGTTGAAATTGTTCATCTGAGTATTTGTATTTTCATCAATTGTAGGTGGGTTTGGATTGTTTGGACCTTTACTGGATTTAGCACCCATTTTAGGGAATTGAAAATTGAGGAAGAACCCTAAAAATGGAGAATTTCTGGGGTTGTGAGATTGAATTTGGGGAATTTGGTAATTTAGGTGTTTATGGAAGTATATAAAGAAAGCATGTATGGGAAGCTTTTGAAACAGAGGCGGAATTAGTGGGTGAAGGAATGGGAAAGTGACGAAGTGAAGAGAGTGTGTGTGAAGAGTCAGAATTTTTTTGACTTTTTTGTTGGACGGAAAATAAAAACTAGAAAATGCTTGACGAGTGAGCTAAGGAATGGGAGACACGAGTCCTAAAGGGAAACTTCATATTATGGATTATTTGGAACTAGGTTAAGTCCCGCGCCATGCACTGTTATAATTAAACTTTACAATAAAAATTATAAAGAATGGTTTTTATTTATTTATTTATTATTTTTTATTTTTGAGGGGAATAAAGAATGGTTGTTAATATAACAATTTATCCAAAAAAAATATTTGTGACAAAATAACTTGAATTTTAATTTATACCAAATGCGTAAAGGTTATTGTTTTGAATTTTAAAAAAAATTATTAATAGAAATTTAGAAGCTATTAGGTTTTATATAAGAAAACGAAAATATAAGCTTAAGTTAGTACCCGTATATGTCTTAAAAAAAAGGGAAAAAAAAATAAAAGGTCAGTACCCGAATACAAACTAATATACATTTGTCCTTATATTTTTGTTGACACACTTTGACCGACATTAAATGAAAATTTAGTTGATTTATATTACTTTAGGATAATTAGTATTCCATAATCAACTTTTTAAAAATGTATTTATAGTGAGTAGTAGCGGTTTTTATTTTAATTTTAATAATCACATTGCATAACGATTAATGTCAAATGATTAATGTTGGAGCTTGGAGGAAAAAATTGATACTCCTTAATATTATAATAATCTTGGACAATGATATATTTAATACCTTATTTTTAATCTATGTTTGTATACTTGTAACTAAAAGATTAATAGTATATATTGGATTAGATATGTTGTCAAAATAGAAATAAGTATTATTGTAGCTTATAAAATGGAAGTCATTAAAATTTGGTAAAAAAAAAAAAAAAAAGGAAAGTGCAAAAAGGAGGGAAAATTATTAATGACATCGTGACAAATGTCATCTTAGTCAATTTTAAGCATAAAATGATTATTAGATATTTAAAATAATGGACAAAATAAAGGAGTTTTTTTTTTTTTTTTTGGGTTAAAAAATAAGGGAGGAGTTTATATTATCACATGTAGGTCATGTAATGTTTATCTTGTTTTAACAACTAAATTTTGTTCGAATAAAATAAGTTTAAGAAAAATAAGTTTAGATTAGAGTATTAACGACTTATTAGGTAGGTGATTATAAATAATGTGGAGTAGTATTTTAAACGTTTTTAAGTGTAATTTGGCAAGTAAAGTAACAATTGAATGTGAGATGGTAAAGCAATTTCATTTTTAACTTGTGTTTTTCTTGAAAAATACATTATCCAATACTATTCCGTAGCAACTAAGGGTTTGTTCCGATTTGCTAAATTGAGCTAAAATAAACTGAAATTAAGCTGAAGAGAACAGGCCCTAGGTGACAAACTATAGAAATTCACCTAAACTTAAACCAGGTTTGTCACTTGTTTTACCCATTGAATACGGAATTTCATTTGCTTTCTAAAATTGGTTTGAGCTAGTGTGTTTCATCCATGGGATTGTTAGTGACTATATGAGAACTTAGTGATAGCACTTCACCAAAGATGAGGGTTAATGGTTGAGATGAAGAGGAGGGGCAGGTCAAGCTCACAATAAATTGAATGTAAACTACAAGATGCATGCTTTTCCAGCTCAAGAAAGTCTTCAGATGCTTTTTTGAATTCATCTTGAGTGTGCCTCTTGAGCATCAAGACCTATTTCTGGTGCATAATTTAGTGTGCCGAGCAGCAGGGAATGCAGAAACTTACAGTTTTACTCACCGTGTTGGCTGTAAGTTTGCAGTTATGCACTCTTTTCACCAACAAATGAAACTTTCAATCAATGTTCCTAGAGTGCATTCAAAAAAATAAAATTAATCTTAGTAAAAGTTAATAAAAAGACAGGTGCACCATCGTAATTGATGCTCATGTGGGTTGAGGGGCGAAAAAAATGTGGGATTTTAAGAAGAGTAGAAGACGATAAACCACGCTTGCACTCGGTCACAACAGCACAGATATACTAAGCCACTGGAACATGACTACTAGCACAAGTGTGTTCAGATGATTTTCTTCCAAGACGAATATGCAAGTATTGTCATGGCGAAGTACAGTGAGGAGCAAATAGGGCATGGGTATCCAGATGATTTTCTTACTGAATGAGTACGCAAATTTTGACATGCAAAATACATTGGAGGGCAAAGAGGTGTAGGGGTGATGAGAAAAGAAAAGGTACAAAGCATTAGAGTAATTGCTCAGTAGATGTAGAAGAGATATAATGAGGAGCAACTGGACATAAATTATATTATTATAATGAGTACCAGAACCAGTGCAGATATCTAAACAATCTATAGCACCAATCTGAACAGCATAATTGTAAATAGAAGAGGAAGGGGTTTTAATAGAAAAGGCTCTCTCTGACATTGAAAGCCATTAGCAAAGTAGCAATACTACATCGATGAGGAGATAAAGCCGCATTGGTAGAGCAGCTACAAGCGCTGCAATGTTTTAGGATGCCGATTTTGTCTTACATTCAGTGAAAGCTAGCTATGTAATTGTATGAGCTAATCATAAGATGGAGAGCTGTGATCGATATGCTCTTGAGTAATACATCATACTGCTGCAAAGTAATCTCATTTGCAAGCCAGTCACTATTTAGCACTAATTACTGCCACTCTTCATCAAGTTTATATAATAGAACCTGAATTCAAGTCCTTAACACCGACCATAGATAGGCAGCGCGAATTTTCCAGAAAAACAATGTTCTTAAGAAGGCAGATTGGGTTAGTCAGATAGGTGCACTAGGATATTTCATAATCCTGTGCAAGATCACAGACCTGGCCAGACTGATTTCTTTACTGTATTTATCTGAATGTGCTGTTATACTATCAATTCCTTCCATAAACACATTCAACTTGTTTCTAATATCATCCATCACCATTGGCAATGTGTCTGCGTCCCTTAAGGCAAAGTCTGCATTGGACAACAACGAATCGATCACAATCTCTAATTTCTGAACCAAAACTCGAATGTTATCCAAGTCTTTAACACTTAAATAAGTCCCAAGCTGCAACTCAAAGACCAAATCCCTTTCACCCTTCAACTCTCTCTCATACTTCTTCCACAGCGAATTGAACCACTTCCCCACCCCTCCAATCGGGGCAGAAACAGCTGCTGCCAAGGCCGATGCCACAGGAGGAGCAGCAACAGCAGCAGCAACAACAGAACAAATCACAACAGCCACAAAAGCAGCACCAAATATAATGTTGGAAACCTTCCTATAAACCTTAACTGACTTCAACTTCTTATCGAGTTTTCGTTTCCTAATCTGTAATCTCCTCAACATCTGAATCTGCTGAGTATAAACAGACTGAAGAATACCAAAAAACTCCTGCCCAAATGGATCCCCAGCCTCCTTAAAACTCCTCAACTCCAGCAACGTACTCGAAAACTTATCAGAAATCTCACTGCTACCCTGATCAACCCTCATCTCCTCCTCAAACCGCCTCAGAGCAACCTGAACAATTAAATGGCGGTCCCGGGCTCGTTTCAGGCATTGATCAAGTTTAGCAAAGAAATCCAATGTCTGAACACTATACTCAAAATAATCCTCAACTAATGACAGCAATTCTTTATTCTTCCAAACATCCTCTTTACAATCAAGAATAACTTTAACAACTTCATGATTCATATCCATTAAACTTCCAGTGACTTGTGTAATTGAGTCAAAGGAAAGAGAACCGACCTGTTGCTGAAACCCATTACCAGAATTGTCAACAGTTGTTGACAAAGTGTTGATAACAGAAGTAGCATGTTGCTGGAGCTTTGAATCAAAGAGTTTAACATCTGGGTCTTGTTTACAAGCTGCTAAATAAAAGCTTAAATCACTGCTTGTTATTGAATTGGATCTACTACTGCCATTGCTGTTGCCATTGCTTGTTGATGGGGTTGTTGGAGTTTCTGACTTTTTACTAAATACAGAACCCATAAATTATGAACCCTTATAAAAAAATTATTAATAGGGTCCCAAGATTTCAGCTTTATTTTATACGCAATAAAATTTAGCACTGGAATTTACTAGGGGTTCATCAAAATTGGGATCTAAATTTAGTAAAATTTGTGGGGTTGGATCCCCAAATGTAGGTGGAAAATAATTGAAAAACTGGAATATAAGAAGAAATGAAGGAAATTGAAGGTTGAATTTTGAGGAGAGATTCTTCAAAGGTTGAACATTCAAAGTAGGTGAATATAGTGTGAATATGTGATGTTTCTGGATATGATGCAAGTATGAAATATTCAAATGTAAATTGTATAATTAATTAGATAGTTAGGACAAAAAAATGGCAATAATAGGAAGATTATCTTCAGTAAGTGGTTGACTGAGATGTGTGGTTGTTTTAGGCTGCTGTTTACTTTGGTTTCCACGAACAATCGGAGAAGATGCTTGTTTATGATTAAAATTGACCAGTAATCCAAAGTTATTATTCGTTTTACTACATAGAAATCTAAATTAATCCATATTATTAACGACAAGGTCGTTGTAGTATAGTGGTAAGTATTCCCGCCTGTCACGCGGGTGACCCGGGTTCGATCCCCGGCAACGGCGTAATTTTTGATTTGCAATTTTTAGTTTTTTCTTTTTCTTTTTGGGATGGGGGGCTTACTTATTTTTGTAGAATTGCAGCTGGTTTATTTTGAATTCTGGTTTCAGCTGAACTGTTTTCTGTTTGTTCAATTACCTTGCAATAACTCAATTGTCGATACAATGCGACCTATGGGTTCATATGAGCATGGATTACATGTCTAGAGAAGGGAGAATTGTAATCTACCTATCCAAAAAATGGAATAAATACAATGTACTATACAAGTATACAAAATAAATGGGATTGATAATGCACAACTAGAACAATAATTAGTCCAATGTTAAGCAGACATAGTTCAGCACGTTATTGGTTTGAGCTTAAATGGATCAAACAATTTCGAAATTATCAAGATATCTCACAATTCAATTCAATTTCGAAACTAATTAAAAGGGGAAATTAGAGCAGCATTCCTTTCAAAGACTGCAGTAAAGTTCTAACAGGTAAAACCAGTAACCAAGACTCAGAAGTAAAGAAGATCTGTCATATTAGCCAAAAACACAGCATGCCAAAAACATTCAGGAAGCTCCAAATTATTTTACATTGAGCTAATTCCATACCAAATGTATCCAAAAAATAAGAGTATTATTGTATCCCTCACAAAACCAATTACAATTATAATTAAATCTACTATGCCGCGATTATAAATAACAGCAATTGATAATGTTGTACAATCTATTCCAACAATGACAATCAATTTTGCCTGTAAGCAATATAATCAGCAAGCGCAATCAATGGTTTCGCCTTTTCTTGATCGAATCCAGCTAGCTGTTCTTTAGCCTCTTTGATCAACCTCTCAGCATACTCCCTAGATTTCTCAATTCCCATCAACTTAGGAAATGTCACCTTATCTGCCACCAAATCTTTCCCTGCTGTTTTCCCCAATTCCTCAGACGATTTAGTTACATCCAATATATCATCAACAACCTGAAATAACAACCCAATTCCTCTAGCAAACTTCCTCAATTTCTCCACATCCTCATCACTCCCACCCCCAACAATGGCACCTAAAACAACCGCCCCCTCGAGGAGCTTAGCAGTCTTATGAATGTGAATGAACTCAAGCTGATCCAACCCAACATTGGTTGCACCTTCAGAGTCAATGTCAACCACTTGTCCTGCTACAAGCCCTTCAGCCCCGATAACTCGAGCCAGTTCCCCAACAGCTCGAACAACCTGTCGAGCCGGGACCTTGTCCAATGGGGTTGAGGTAGCAATATGTTCGAATGCAAAAGACAAGAGTGAGTCGCCTGCTAATACAGCAACATCCTCACCAAATACTTTGTGATTAGTGGGTTTTCCCCTGCGAAGGTCGTCGTTGTCCATGCAGGGGAGATCATCATGAATCAAGGACATCGTATGAATCATTTCTACAGCGCATGCTGCAGGCATCGCAGTCGATTCATCGCCGCCTACGAGTTCGCAGGCGGCGATGCAAAGAACAGGGCGAACCCTTTTTCCTCCTGCGAGGAGGGAATATCTCATGGCCTCATGAATTTTTTCTGGGTGCTTTAATGTCACCGCCATATCCAATGCTTTGTGGACAGATTTCGCCTTCTTCACCATATATGCCTCGAAATTAAAAGGGGTTGATGATGAAATCTTGTTTTCTGGTGGGTCAATCGCAGTTTCTTGTTTAGTCATGATTGCTGAGATTGAAGACATTTTTGAGGTTTTTCTTGAGGAGAGAGAAAATGGGGTTGAAAAATGATTAAAAGAAGAAGATGATGATAAAGTGTTGGTGCCATTATTATAACATTGATTCTTCAAAGGTGAAAAAATGAAAGATCTAGATCTGGAATTGGAATGGTGAGGAAAACATGTTTGAACCCAATTTCCCAGACTTAGAGTAGTACTACTGTTACTCATTTTTATTGGAATTTTGAGTTTGCTAAACTATGAAGAAATTAAGAAATTGATATTGAAAATGAAAATATATATATTATAATTTGTGGGTATATATAAATAAAGTTGAACAATCTGGTGATTTGAATCTGTAAGATTGAAATAGATAATTGCTCTGTAATTTTAAAAACAAGTTCAAAGTTTGTAATCAATTGATAAGGAAAGCAATATTTGCAGTTGATTTTGTTGCCATAAATCAAAGGAAATAAAAGTGATAGGTTGAATAGAAGAGGAGATAGATTGAGAGTGGGAAATGGATTGTACCAAAAATTAATTGTACCACCCAAAATACTTTATTTTTCCGAGCTTAATGGCACTTGTTCATTGGCATTTGGCATTGGATAGGATTGTGTGCATCTTTTGCCCACTATTTTCGCTTATCTTATGTGGCATCATTTTTTTTTTCCTTCTTTGAGATGCATAGTATATTTCCTCCATTTCTAAAATAGTTGTCCATAAATCGATATATTTTTGTTATGCAAAACGATGCACTTACGTTATTTTTTTGCCAATTTCGAGCTCAATTCGGATTCTTAAGGGCTAAAATGGTCTCTAAACTCTTAAACAAACATATTTTGATACGTAAACCGATAAAAAAAATTGAATTAAATTGCAGTTTACAATTTATAATAACTTTTGGGTTGCAAAAATGACTACAATTTGTAAATTTTACTTAAGAAAATAAGATAGTGAAAAACAATGATAAGATTTTACATAGAATATAAAGTAATAAGGTGTTCAACATTTGGAAAAAAGAATATTTGCGTTAAAATTTAGGTAAATATTTATGTAAATAGGAATAGTTGCATTAGGAGTATGATAATTTTTTTTTTTTGAAAGGAGTAGATAATTATTTTAGTAAATGGGAATAGTTGCATTGAAAGTGATATGTATATATGAGGGGAAATGTGTAAAAAAAAATTACTTCCTCCCTCCCTCCCTAAATTACATTCCTAATTCTAACATTTATTCCTTGCATAATAAAGAGAAGTAAAAATATAATTTAGGGACAAAAGGAGTACATTAATCAATATTACTCCGTATAAATTGTTTCAAAAAAAATAATGACAAACGTATAAATTAGACGAAATGAATGGTCTAGACAATGATATAAACACGTTTTCTTGGCCTATACTGTGTTTTGTACTTTTGTGTGCCAATGTACGAGAATTTATTAGAGTTCCAACGGTTGCTTGCATGTACACGTGTTGAGATTTCTCATGAGTTATAACATCTTTTGGGATAGGGGTGCTAGTGAGCCGAGAGCTACTCGATGTTTGGCATGGTCAAAACTTGGACAAAGAATTTGAATTCGACAAGTTAAGATTATGCTATCTTTGACTCCATTATTAATTAAATAATATAATTAAAACAGATAAATTAAAAAGTAGATCGAACATTTGATAATAAAGCCCCAAGCAGAGCTTGGAGTCGAGTCAAGCTTATTGAGTCGAGTTGAACTTATGTCTTGGGATTATAAGTTCATTTAAGCTCGAGCCGAGCTAGTGTCAACACTGTCACGCTCGAGTTGAGCCCAATAGTTTCAAACTCAAATAGTTTCGAGCTCAAGAGCTCACGAGTATCAAGCTCAAGGCTCACGAGTATCAAGCTCAAGTCGAGTTTAGAGAGGCTTGTCTCATCTCAGTTCAAAAACACCCTTGTTTCAAAATGACATGATAAATACAAAGTATTTTGTATTTTCCCACAGAGTATGATAAAAAAAAATTAATATGATTTATACATTAAAAATTAACAAAAAAAATTGTTCTATCAATATATTAAGGGTCTGTTCTCTTACGTTGAAATTCAGTTCAGTTCAGTTCAGCTCAGCTCAGTTCAGTTCAGTTCAGTTCAGCTCCTAATTTCCTTCTCTTATAAAATATTTATTTCAGTTCAGTTCAGTTCATCAGTTCAGTTCAGCTCAGCTGAGTTCAGTCAATGAGAACAGACCCTAAGTTGTTGATATTGCCTCCGTTTCATATAATAATACAAACGAATCATAAAGTGACATTTGTCAGGCCCACATTAATTTATTTGTCTTATAAAAGTAGTATACTGTGATATATTGATGATTGATTGGTAACTAATAACTAAATAAGGATTTTTATGGCCCATTTTAAATCACTAAGCTACACTTCCCTTCTTTTTTTGTTTTTTGCTTTTGAAAATTAAACAAATTAAGATATAAAAATATTAAAAATTGGCCTTATTAGAATCATCACAATTTCAAAAACTAACAACAACTATTATGATTTCAAAAACTAACAACAACTATTTTGATTCCAAATATAAGAAAGAAAAACAAAAATGAAAACGAACAAATTTTTAATTTTTTGTTTTATTCCAATATTACCAGGGCCGTCCCAACTATTATGGAGGCCCTGTGCGATTGAGATACATTTGAGCCCCCCCTCCCTTTTTAAAAAAAAAAGAAATGTATAATAATATTGCATTTTTTAAAAAAAAATAAATGCTCTGCTATGATTTGTTGCAGAGGTTTAGAATAAAGAAATAAATGTAATTTTTGTAATATTATTGAAGCGATTGAAATATGTTGAAAAGAAAAAAAAAACACAAGTTATAAAAGTTTTTACGGGTTATTGTAAAGAAGAGAGAGTGGTAATATTTTCTAAAAATGAAATTGAGTCAAGGGACCATTAGTGGGGATAAAGTATAAAATATTGTTACAATCTTCCAAAATATAGGAATGGAATTTTTAAAAAATAAAGTACATAGCAGGATTCAAACCTTGTTCCTACAAGAATCAATACCTCCACATTTACCAGCATTACCACTAAGCCACAACAGTTTCACTATACATTTTTACAACCATTTTGTATATATTGTAAGAATTTGAGGCCCCAAATAATGATGGGCCCTGCGCGGTTGCGCAGGCCGCACACCCTAAGGGCCGGCCTTGAATATTATGTACGTAACAACTTTTATAGTTGTGCCTAGTGTTAGTTTTATTGCTCATTTAATTTATTTATTTTTTGCTCATTTTTAGATTAATCATTTTCAGATTTTTAAAATGAGCAAAAAAAATTATTGAATGAGCACAAAAATATTAAGTGCAAGGTGCACCCCACACCGATGCATATAATTTTTTTTTTTTTTTTTTTTTTTACTATTATTTACGGAGTAATTAAATAGGAACTCCTAGATATATTTGTCATACATAAGGCAACTTTTCTCCTTGCTTGCACTTTCTATATATACCACACGACATTCAGTTTTGCCTATAAGCAATATAATCAGCAAGAGCAATCAATGGTTTCGCCTTCTCTAAATCAAACCCAACAAGCTGTTCTTTAGCCTCCTTAAGTAACCTCTCAGCATACTCCCTTGATTTCTCAATCCCCATTAACTTAGGGAATGTTATCTTATCTGCCACCAAATCTTTTCCCACTGTTTTTTCCCAATTCCTCAGACGATTTTGTTACATCCAATATATCATCCACAACCTGAAACAACAATCCAATTCTTGTGGCAAACTTCCTCAACTTTTCCACCTCCTCATCGGTTGCACCCCCAGCAATGGCTCCAAGAACAACTGCTCCCTCAAGGAGTTTAGCAGTCTTGTGAATGTGTATAAACTCAAGTTGCTCCAGGCTGACATCGACTGCCCCTTCAGAGTCGATGTCAAGCACCTGTCCCGCCACGAGCCCTTCAGCCCCGATAACCCTTGCCAGTTCCCCGACTGCACGAACAACCTGGCAAGGGGAGACCTGGTCCAGCGGGGTAGCAGTAACCAGGTGCTCAAAGGCGAAGGACAGTAGCGAGTCCCCTGCCAGTACAGCGACTTCCTCACCATACACTTTGTGGTTGGTGGGTTTCCCCCTGCGAAGGTCGTCGTTGTCCATGCAGGGGAGATCATCATGAATCAAAGACATTGTGTGAATCATCTCCAGAGCGCATGCAGCAGGCATCGCTGTGGATTCATTGCCGCCTACAAGCTCACAGGCGGCAATGCAAAGAACAGGGCGAACCCTTTTCCCTCCTGCAAGGAGTGAATATCTCATAGCCTTATAAATTTTTTCAGGGTGCTTTAATTCCACAGCCATATCCAATGCTTTGTGCACCGATTTCACTTTCTCCACCATATACTTCTTGAAATTAAAAGGTTTTGTAGAAGAAATGTTGTTTTCACTTGAGTTAATTGCAGTATTTTGCTTTGTGAGAACTGCAGAGAATGTAGACATTTTTTTATCTATGTTTGTTTTCTTGAGGAGATAAAAATGAAGTCAAAAAAATGTTGAGAAGAAGATAATGATATTGATGTGTGTTGCTGCCATATTTATAGTAATTAGCAACCTGTTAATATTCTTATATTCAAAGGGGAGGAGTAATGGATGATCTGGATGTGTAAATGTGGAATTAGAAGCAAGAACAGAACATGTCTAAAACTAATTTCCTAGACATAGAGTAATAATACAAATCTACAATTACTCATTATTATTCTTGAGATTCTACGAAATTGAAGTTGAAATTGAATATAAAAAATATAATTTGTACATGTGAACCTTACATACACTAATGTTGATTATATACAAGTATATTTTAAGTTATTGAAGTTGAAATTGATTATATACAAGTATATTTTGATTTTTTTTTTTTTTACAGGATATTTTAAATTATTGAAGTTGAAATTGACTATTGACGGAATACAAGTATATTTAAATTGTACATGTGAAGTGTACAAAATACAATTATATACGAAGTATGTAGTTGCACAAATTGGTGATTAGGTTCCGTAAGTGCGAAAGAGATAATTGCTCCCTAATTTAAAAACAAGTTTTAAGATTGCAATTAATTGAGCCAGGAAAGCAATATCCCACAAGACGAGAAATTATGAGAGTTCATAATTTCGTGTTGCAGTGGTTTCATGAGTTGTACTCTTGTATCATTTTATGGTAAATATATTTTTTAGAATGTTCGAACACCATTTATAAGAGTAGTACCTAGTTATGTCAAAAAAACTCGGAAAAAATATGTGAACAAATATTTTTAGAATGTTCAAACACCATTCATAAGAGATAAAAAAAAATAGTAAACATAAATGAGGACAAATAAGTATCCAAACATTTTTAGGGCCACACACTAACACACTATTTATAAGGGTTTGCTTGAACTTTTTAAAAGGTATAAGGAAAAAAAAAAACTTTTTTGAAGGAAATTTTAGATTTTAACACCATGCAAATCAATGAAAATTGATATTAACACCACCCAAAAAAAAAGTTTATTTTAACACCACATAAAAAATTGAACATTTGAAGTTACCACCAAAATCTTGCTTCTATTAACGGAACTATTACTGGGCCCCACTCCAACGGTCACTTTTTACAATTCTCTCTTTAAAAGCACGATTAAAGCACGATTCTCTTCATTTCTGTTCTTTTGTGAGCAAATTTGTGGATTACATAGGTTGATCCTGGTATCAATTCATTCAAAAAAGTGATTTCATATCAAGAATTCTAGGGTTTGCTGGGAAAGAGGAAGGAATTGAAGGTGGTAACAGGTATGTTTGTTCAGACATCAAAATCGCACTTTCTCTCCAATGTAATGGCAAATTGAGCTTGTTTGGTATGTATTTATTGCTTAAATTACCTTAGTTTAGCAATTCAGTTATGTATTATGCTGGATTTGGTGGTTGGATTAGCATTGTCGCAGTTAATTAGTCAATTTCGAAAATTAGGGTTTATGTGAAACCGAAATTGGGGCTTTTTATGGTAGACGGGTTTAATTGAAAGTTTTTGTTGAGAATTTGAATTCGTATGTGTACAGAGCAGTAATTGTTATATTCATCTTAAATTGGTGCAGATTATGTCTTCTTTGAGCTATTCTCCTTCAAAGGAGAAAAAATGCAATTGTGGAGTGCCAATGGCAAGGCTAACTAGCTGGACTAGGGAGAATCCAGGGAGGAAGTTCAGAGCTTGCAAGTTTTATGATCCAGTCACAGAATCAAGGGGGTGCAAGGTCTTTGAATGGGTTGACCAACCTGATGGGACAGACTGGCAAACAGGGGTTATCAATAACCTCTTGCTGGATAAGAAGCTGCTTAAGGGTGAAGTGAATGAGTTGAAAAGGGAAGTTGATGATATCAGTGGGCAGAGGAGGTGTCTACTTAATTAATGAATTTGACAATTTGAAGATTAGGTGCAAGGCTTTGAATGGTGAAAGAAAGAGAATGAACAGGGACTGCAAGGCAGGGGGGGCTTTTTAGTGCATTGTATGTGGGTGGGCATGGCTATCTGTATTAGTTTGTCAATTGGTGTAGTTTTCCTAATGGTTAGGGGTGTTTAGTTGTAATAGAAGTAGGTGTTTGAATTGTTATTTTGTGACTTGTAGTGTTGGGAGCTTTTGTGTAATGAAATTCTAAATATTTTAGTAAATGAATTCCAAGTATTTATAATCATGTGGTTGATGTTCAGTTATGATGGTTTTTGAAAAAAAATTGAAAGCACATGCATGCAGTAAAATAGGGAATTATTGCCAAATTAGTTAACAGAACATATATATTCATAAAAAGTTGCCAAAAGGTGTTTACTTGAACCTGTCTTAATGGCAATTACAGCCATACAAAATGTACACCATCCTAATATCTCTGGTTGTTCAAATGCTAATGACAAACAAACAAAATGATGACATAAATATGAATTCAAACATAATATTGTTTTCTAGCTATTACATCACTGAGTGAGGTTAACATCCTTGAAATTTTGCAGCTTGGCCCTAGTTATCACACCTGTGTGTGATGGTTGTTGAACTGTTGTTGTTGCAGGCTGACTTGAGGAACACTTAGAAGTTTTGTGTGGATGCTGAGTAGCGGTTGTTGCAGGTTGGCTGGAGGAAGGATTTGCCTTTGACTTAGACTGCTGCTTTGGCTTTGGTTTACTTGAGCTTGGCTTTGGTTGACTTGAGCTTGGCTGACTTGAGCTCTGTTTTAGGGAAATCACAACATAGTTAGCTTAAAGGATCAAATTCATAAAGTTACAGAAACACAAGGTTCAAGGTTTATACCTTTTTGGCAGCTCTGAGTTCTTTCTTCTTCCTTTCCTCCACCACCCAAGGAGTGTTGGAGGGTGGTCTCCCTGGTTGCCTTGGCTCCTCATTTGCTGGTGCAGGAGTGTTTTTGCAGGTCTTGGCATAATGACCAAATCCTGTACACTTACTGCATTGTTTCTGCCTCTTTGCTGTCTGTGGTTGTGCAGTTGCAGTAGAACATTCCCCTGGTTCCAGCTTCCTTTTTTTGCTCTTTGGTCTTCCAGGCTGTACCTTAAATGTTGGAGGCTGTGGTTCCCTCATACTCACTATCTCCCAGTGTTTAGGACCAGGCATGGGTTGGATAGGGGGTTCATAAACCTTCCTGTATGAGTCCATGGTGTAATAAGGGTCCACATATGCCTCTATGTCACCCCTCATGTCCATCATGCATGAATAAGCATGCACACAGGGAATCCCAATTAGTTCCCAATGATAACAGGTACAAGTTTCCTTTTGTAAGTCCACACACTCTTGATCATCCATCAACTGCACTTCAAATGTTTCATCTCTTGATGGTTGCACAACACACTTCCTAGCAACAAATTCTATCCTAGCTAAGACATTCCTCACATAAGGGGTAAGGTTGCTTGTAATTTGTTTAGAATCCTCCCACTTCTCATTGTTCCTATTCATTACATACCTCCTCATCCATTCCATTTGGGTGAGGATAGGCTTATCTCTGGCAAGCCTGATGACTGCATTGAAAGTCTCACACATGTTGTTTAACAACATGTTGGACTTGCAGTTAGATGAAAATGCATGTCTTGACCAAGACTGGGGGGGAATGTTCACTAAATACTGATATGCATCCTCTGACAACTCTTTGATAGAGTCCATGGCAAATTTGAAGTTAAACTGACAAAATGCAATAATGTAAACAACTTAAGACAATCACATTCCCACACATATGCATACAATCATTAAATAAGTATTGGAATGGGATGACTTATTGCAGTTGTTGATCTCGCTGCTGCCCAAAACAATTCTTTGAATGTTGACCCAGTGAATTTGAGCTTGAAATTTGCCCAAATGTGCCTTACACATAATCTTTTTTCAGCTTTTGGTACTATATCAGCCATTGCTTCCAGAAGCCCCTACCATATTCATTCACAATATCAATAACTCATCCTACTTACTTACACAAAGAAAAAAAAAACAAGTACAAATGAAAATGAAAATGTGCAAAAAAAAAGGCAAAAAACTGTTACCTTTTGCCTGTCTGACATTATTGTCAGCCCTTCTCCTTGATCATGTGTGAACATTGCCATTAGAGACTCTAGGAACCAACCCCAGCTATCTTTATTCTCTGCCTCCACTGTTGCCCAAGCTAGGGGAACAGTTTGTTATTCCCATCCTTAGCTACTGCCACCAATATAATTCCAGGATATGCACCCTTGAGGTGACAACCATCCACCCATCATTGGCCTACAACCCTTAGCAAACCCATCTCTCAAAGTCCTTAGACACATGAACATTCTCAAAAACATAGGGGGCTCAGGACTGTCTATACCTTCCACAACCACATTGCACCCAGACCCAGGGTTATACTTCATCACAGACCTCCCATAATCCCACAACCTAGCATATTGCTCCCTTGCTGACCCATATATGATGAGTTTAACCCTACACCTAGTCATCCATGCTTTAAAGTATGTCACCTCAATACCTAAGTCATTAAGAACCCTGGCCCTAATATCCTTAATTCTCCATGGAGAATTACACCTAAACTCCTCTAGATATCTGTCTGCAATGAACTCAGCAGTAATCATCCTATTTTTCTTGACTCTAAGACAAATGTGTTTCAATTTACAGCTTTTAATTTGCCAAGTATCCTGCTTGACCAGTTTTGATGCATACACCTTAAAATGACACTTTACCCCCCCCCCCCACACATGTACATGCAGGCATTCTACAAGTATAACTATTGAACTCACAGTCACATCTATACCTACACTGCATTGTAATCCTCTTAGAGTCATTATGCAAGAAATAAAACTCATACCTCTCTTGAATGGCATGCAGTCTCAATACCCTTCTCAATATTGCAGCATTCTTGAACTTCTGCCTCACCTGCAGCTGGATGGGCTTTTGGAAGTCCACATCTTCATTAAACCATGGAGCAGTATCCTCCTCTGAATCAGATCCACACAAGCTTCTTGAACTCTCTGAATCACCTTCATCACCCTCTGGATTGACCCTAACTGTTCTTATATCCAGGTCATCTTTCAGATCTGACCTCTTATCTTTCACAACACCCTCATCTATGCCACTTCCCTGCAGTTTCCTCAAATTCTTGTTAACCTTCTCTAAGATGTCCTTAGACCCTTCAATAAACCATTCTTCATCCCCTTCATCAAATTCTTCTTCACCTGGTTCCCAATCTAGGTCTTCATCACTCAAATCTGAGCTAGAGTAATCAGATTTATTGTCACCATCATCATCCTCTTCAAACACCAATGCTTTAGCCTTTGCTGAGGCTTTACCTTTGAGCTTACTCTTCTGTTTTGAACTACCGGACACTCCAGCTTCTGCAACCTTCCCCTTCAGTTTCTCCCTTGGTGGACTTTCCTCCCTTTCAGTCTCAGTCTTCTTAAATCTAGGGCTTCTCCTAATACTGACAATTGAAGTACTTTGACCCTTCTTCCTTTTTTTAGTAACCTTATCCTTTGGCTGGGGATTGGGTTGGGCCTTAGTTGTGGGCTTCAAATTAGGTTGTGCTGTCACAAAGACTTCTACATAACCCTCTACATTTCTAGTCTCTAAAAGGCCCCTCACTTCATCACTGTTGACTGGTTCCCTTCTACCAGTGTTAAAAGTTTTCCCCTTCTTCCTATACCAACAATTGAAATAGACAGGCACCTCCATATCACCATTAACAAATCCATGAATTGCAGCTGACCTAATCTCCTGTACATCCAACTTAGACACTAGGACTTTTCTTCTCCAATAACACCACCCCCCACACCAACAAAGCAGTTGTCTATCTTTGCTAACTCTTTTAGGGACAAATGCATCCCCCACCCTTAGACAGATGTCAACCATATCTTCATTGTCACCCATTATCTACCCACCAATAACATAGATACAATAGTATTATTACTTTATTATAAGACATATAATATCAACACTTTATTAATCAACTACAGTAATTGAATATTTAACTTCAAATATACAAATAAACAAATAATCCAGTCCAACATGCATCAATAAACAAATCACACATATACAGTCTTCAATAAGTTCATTCACAAAAACCCCAATTAATTAGTGTCAAATTTCAACCTAAACCACCAATTAACATAATTCGCAGTCAATTTCAAAATAATCCCTTTTTCTAGGGTTCTCAGTTTCAGTTGCCAAAGTAACCCCAATTAAGCATAAAATTGCAAAATTGACATCAACCATTCACCAATAATAGACGAAATTGCTGTAAAAAGATAAAAAAGATACCTTCTTTGGAATCTCTCACCTTTAATTGTCAGATTGCCAGCAATTTTCGCCCTTTTTTTGAAGATGGATGAGGAAATCCTCGAACGCTTTTCTTCTGCTAATGACAGCTCCCTTGTACTTTCCTATCCCCAACCACACAAATTTTAAGCAATTGAATGCCCTAGATGAAGATACTACTTTGAGTAGATGAAAATTCAGAGTGAATTCAATGAAGATGGTTGGAAGTAATCAATGAAGAGGAAGAATCGTGTTTACTAAGTGTGAAATTTGGAGGCAAACCTAAAACATGGGACCCACGTCACTTTTCCGTCACAGAAACCGTTATATGGTGGTAACTTCAAATTTTCAATTTTTTATGTGGTGTTAAATTAAACTTTTTTTTTGGGTGGTGTTAATATCAATTTTCATTGATTTGCATGGTGTTAAAATCTAACATTTCCAATGTTTACCCAAATAAATATAAATTGTATTTTCTCACCCATTAAAAAATTGGAAAAATGGAAACTAATAATCCCACCTTTGTCATTTTCGCTCAAAACAATCCCACCTTTTCGAAATCTGGAAACAATCCCACCTTTAACCCCCATTTGCTCAAAACAAGCTTTTTACCGGTTTATGAAATTGGTAACCTGTTTCAAAAGGTGACTCGCCACATGTCACCGTCTGATTGGTGTTTTTTTTTATTAATTTAAAAAACAAATAAAGAAATTAAAAAAAAAAAAAAAAAACCCTCTTTCCCCTTTCCTCCCCTGCCACAGCCCTCGTCCCTTCGCCGAACCAGCCACCGCCGGGCCCAACCACCATCACTTACCGGAGCAAATTAAACCCACTTAAGTGTACTATGTGTTAGTCTCCATTAAAGTGGCAAGTAAGCTTTCTCAATCTTCCACATTTAAATGTTTTAATAAGGTTCGTTTTGGGTTAGAGGTGGGATGTGAGATTGTGGGGGTGGGAGTTCAAGTTGCGTGGTGTTTCATAGGATGCTGGGTGAAAAAGGGGTTAGCGTTTTAAGTGGGTTGGATGGGATTGGCCGATTTGGTGGCCTGGGTTATGGTGGGGACTTGGGAGGTCGTGGTGGAGGTTAGGCGAGTGAGGTGGGTGGTCGGATTTTTGGGTGGGGGTTATGGGGATTCGGGGTTGGGTAGGAGGTTGGGTGGGGGGCTGCTGGACCAAGCGGGATTGGGTGGGGGTTCTTCTAGCGAGTTTGGGTTAGGTGGTGGTGTATGTGGTGGTGTTGATGAGGTGTTAGTTATGGAGGGGGTGGTGATAATGGTGGAGCTGCCATTAAAGAGGTTAGAGAGGAAAGCTTAAGGAAAAAACAACCGGTTAACACAGGTTATGGGTAAAAAGGCTTGTTTTGAGCAGATGGGGGTTAAAGGTGGGATTGTTTCCAGATTTCGAAAAGGTGGGATTGTTTTGAGCGAAAATGGCAAAGGTGGGATTATTGGTTTCCATTTTTCCTAAAAAATTTAACCCTTTATTATATCATTCTTTGAACAAAATAGGTTCATAAAATCATTAATTGGACTCATCGCCTTTTTTCCACATAACTTCCAACATTTTCCCTTAAACTTCACCTATTCAGGGACTATTCTCTTCAACTTAATTTCAATTCAATTTAGTTCTTATGTCCTTCTCTCATAAACAATTCAGCTCAGCTCAGTAAATGAGAACATAATCTTAATTCCTTCTTAAATTAAGTTTCATGAGCGTAATTTGTTCAATAGGTGATAAAATGTTGAATTTAATTATTTAAGTGGGTGGGAAAATACGATTCTTTTTTTTTTTCAAGTGGTAAAAATTGAGGGACAAAAAAGCCTTTTATTATTATTATTTTTTTTTTTCCTTTTGTTTTTTCCATAGATTAACTTTAGTTTTTTTTTTTTTTTTCCCCTTGAACTTTTACACTTCTTCCACTTTAATAATGTTAAATCTTTCCATTACAACTGAGATATAAAATCACAATTCTATGTAAGAAAATTAGGATTTAAAATCATTGGAGAAGAGATAATTAGTATCCTAAAAGCAGGGATGCCATCTCATCAGGAGCGTACCTCATATATCAATTTCAGGCTGCAAGGACCCCAAGTGCACTTAAATTACAAATGCATCTGTAATAAATTTAACTCAGATTAACTCAAATGCTCTTACATCAGCCTCTTTTAGGTATCTTCAAACTATCTTCGATTAGCTATTACTAATTACCTCGGCTAACTATAATGGCTTTCTGGACCTACAACGGAAATAGGTCACCAACGGCTTCTTAAATCGTCAAAACATCATGGTAATTGTAGATGTCGCAAAGCTTCAGATATTGAAAGTAACAAAATCATGAATTGATCCTCGCAGCAAAGACTGTAGTCTCAAATAAGGGCATACCCACAGTGACAGCCTGAAGATGGGTTCTACTTGTGGTACAGGTAAAGAATACTGAAGATAAAGAAGGCAACCATCTGCAACCATTCAAAACAGGCAATCAGTTTTACTTCTAAGTATTGCCATCTAGTTTATATAGATGTAACATGTACGAAATTTTGAGGATACCGTCGAGAATGAAGCCCCATAGTAAGGAAAAGCCACTGGTAAAAATCTTTCATATTCGTCATGATTGTATGGACGTACTGGAATCTGCAATTAACAATATTTGATTTGCTTTCAGTAAATGCAGGCATGCAGCACTAACAACAACCACACTATAATGCAGCAGGAGGATGACTGAACAGAAAAGAACAATGATAATTAAAGACATTCTTTTCTGTTCATAGATAGTACTTTATTTTATTGCAGCCAAGTTATATCACTAATTAATTTACCACAAAGCTAATGGGCTATAAATTTATTAAAATAATATAAAAATGCCATACGGCCAATGAAATCATCTGATGCTAAAACTTCCATAAACATACGCATCACAAGGCATTAGTCCAAGCCACTATCATAACAATGAAAAATTTAAGGGAAATTCTACATAATACCCCCGAGGTATTGACTATTCCACGTTGTGCCCCTCCCTTTGAAAAGTTCCACGTTATAACCTCAAGGTTCCAAAAGTGATTAAACTGTACCCCTGCCGTTATCCCTCCGTTACATGTTGCCGTTAGTGGGGCCCACTTTACACCTATTTATTTTTTTTTCTCGATTTTCGTGCTAAAAAATGTCCCATTAAAGGTTTTAGAGGTCATTTTAGTCATAAAGGGTCCAAATTGAGCTCAGATTTTGAAAAAAATAACGTAAAAGTCCCGTTTTGTGAATTTGAATTCTCATAGTTAAATTTAAAATTCATAAAACGGGGCTTTTACGTTACTTTTATGCAAAATTCGAGCTCAATTTGGACCCTTTATGCCTAAAGTGACCCCTAAAACCTTAATGGGAAATTTGTTAGCACAAAAATCGAGAAAAAAAAAAATAGGTGTAAAGTGGGCCCCACTAACGGCAACATGCAACGGAGGGATAACAGTAGGGGTACAACTTAATCACTTTTGGGACTTTGAGGTTACAGCGTGGAACTTTTCAAAGGGAGGGGTACAACGTGGAATAGTCAATACCTCATGGGTATAATGTAGAATTTCCCAAAATTTAAAGCAACTCTGACTAGTAAAAAGCTTAGATAAACTCCCCGTTATAAGAAAGGGCGTATTAAATATAAAGCTGATATGGATCAGTAAAGAAGATCACCTGTTTCGCAAGAGACAAGCTTGTATAACCAAGTCTCTGATACTCAATCTTGAACTGGAAAACCCCATAAACATCTGGAACTTTGAATGATGTGTGATATAATCCCTGCTGACCAAAAATACCAATAATTGAATATACGATAAAACCAACCAAATAAAGCCAATTTAAAGTCCAACAAAGTTACGGATAATCCATGAGATTACCGTCTTATCTTTTGATAGGGTCTTTAACACATAGGGGCTCATCAAGTAGAACTGCAATTGCACATCATCAGCCACATAGGGCTCCCAGCTTGATCCAGACCACTCGTATATCTCAACAGAGTATTCCTGAAATAAAGTCAACTCTATGAGAGCCCGTTGGTTCCCTCCCAACCAGTTCAGGTATAATAACTAAAAAATTAAGCATTACCAGGTCATCCTTGATGCGATAGATGGAAGGTTCATTTGTTTCCCCAAGTTTACGATGTTTAACATTGACAGCCTAAATAAAGAGCCAATATTATTACAAGTAAAAAGACAATAACATATAAGCAAATAATCACTTCATGAGTCGTGAGTCGTGACAGAGTAAATGAATGTGGCATACCTTTAGATGACCCCTCTCATGGAATATCCATTTGCTTAACTCTGTTAAAAACTGCTCATTACCAGATTTTTCATACCTGTAGCATAGAAACCAAATCTTACACCTCCTTGACACATAAAATGTATTTAGATTTTATCTAGATTACAAGCTAGAAACAGGATGCGTTTTTACATTTACACGACCAAGACCATGTAAATAAAGGTTCAAGTGCACCTAACATGCTCTAATTCTAGCCACATCTTGAATGGTAACTATCATGATGATTGTGAGGATCATTGCAACCACAGGGAGGGGATATTATCCATCCAGTGTACAGATTACAGAACCACTGGAGTAGAAAATAAAGATGCCTGTAAATTTCGACCCCCGTGATGCATACTGAATGAATATAATGTATCATGCAAGTAGTAACCTATTACGGAAAAAAAAATTATCCTAACATACCAAAATGGTATGACAAGACCTTCATTAAACAAAGATTAAGAAAGATTATTGCATAATAAGAAAGATTATTGCATATTAAGAACAGGAGAGCGCCAAAATTGCGTTTCCATTCCCTCAGGAAATAAGATTATTGCATATTATACAAAGAAAGAGAACTGACGTATCCAATTGACACTTCTTGTGACAGCTAAACTAAAAAAAAAACACCAGAAGAAAAGAGAGGAAATATTGCAGAAAGAATTTTACTGTTTTGTTTGGCTGCCACTAGCAAGTCACCAACACTAATGTACGAGTATTTCTTGATCTCATGCACATACACAAGCACTTTACTCTAAGATTTCTTAATATAAAAAATCGAACATTTTCCTCTTCTTTTTTGCTGCTTATATCATCAATGCTACAAGCCTACAACCACTGCTCCATTAGCGCCCACTACACATATCCCAGTGACCCTTCAACAATTACAAGCAGCGGCTACCTTATATTGGACAACAATAAGTCAACAACAATAAACCTTAGTCCTAAAATGATTTGGGGTCGGCTAACATGAATAATCTTAAGGAACCGTCTGTAAAGGAAAAGTTAACAAATATTCTGGCTAATATATAGTGGACATTCTTTCAATTTCCTGTTTAATCATTAACGCCTCAACAAAGACGGTGACTTAAAGAAAAATATGGACTCAACAAGCAGTCAAGGCACCAAGCAACAAGTATTTGAGCAGGACTTACTTAAATGAGGTCCCAGCTTTTTGGACATTTGACCTGAGAAACCTGTATCACCCAAAAATAAAAATAATAAAATAATAATAATAATACATACAAGGGATTATATATATATAGAAGATCCTCAATGGAGAAACCACATACCGGTCACTAAACATATCCAAAGAGCCAGAAATCAGAACTCGAGCATTGTTTCTAGCCTGCAAGTTTGCATCAACAAGACAACATCATGTAAATGTTGCTGACTGCAATATACTCCCTCCGTTTCTTATTTCTTGCAACATTTGAATTTTGGGGTGGTTCACATTTCTTGCAACAAACTCATATTTTTCTTTATTTGGAAACTTTTTGCTGTCAAAATGACCAATTTACCCTTACTAAAAAAATGTTAACACATAATGCTACACATAATTGCAAGATTTGCAACCCATTATAATCCTAATCTAAATTACTTATCTATGAAATCAGACTCATTATCTTTCTCTCTCCTCCTCCATCTCTCATTATCATCTTCTTCATGCATCTCTCATAATCAAATCACTAGTTTGGTGGATTTTCTTCAACTCTGATTGTTAGTGGCTTTGGTGGGTCATTAGTGGTGTCGGGTTTGGTTGTTCATCGGGTTTGGTGGTTCACCGTTCTTAGTGAATTTGGTGGTTTGTCGGGATTGGTAGTTTTTAGCTTTTTGGTGGGTCGTCGGTGGTTTGTGCTGGCTGGGTTCGGTGGTTTCGTTGGTGGTTTTGGTGGTGTCGGTGGGTTTGTTGGTCGTGGACTCGTGGTTGTGGTATTGGTGGTTTCGCAGGGACTCGTAGGTTTGGGGGCGTGCATCTGGGTGGTTTTGGTGGTACTATAGTGGTTTAGTTGGTGTTGGTGGTGTCGGTGGGTCTAGATCCGGTGGTCGTTGGTTTCGCAGGGGTGGAGGGGTGGTTTTGATGGTTTCGTGGGTTTGGTGGCACGGGTCTGGGTCGGTGGTTTGGGTGATGGTTGTGGGTGGCGTGCGTTCATCGGTGGTGGTGCTTGACTTCGGTTGCTTAATTGCTTTTTTAGTTGGATAAATTATTTACCCTCTCTCCTCCTTAATTACATCATTTACATGCCCTTATTTTTTATTAAGTATGCTTAAAAAGTTTTGACTTGGGAACCGCGCTACCCCCTTTGTTGCAAGAAATAAGAAACGGAGGGAGTATATTAGCTGCGGAAGATGTCAGGAAATGAATTACAGTAAAAGCAACTAAAATCACTACACATTATGCATAAAACAAATAGTGGAACAATCACATGAATGCATAATGCACCTACTAGTTATAAACTGATATGCATCACATATAGTCATATAGATATCTAGGGTCGGGTCGGTTAATGAGCTGTGCAATCTCACAGGGTCCATAAGT